GGTTTTTTTTTTTTTTTTTTTTTTAGATTAGTTATGTTTGAAATAGTCTGATTTAGCTTGTTGTCTGGCTGCTTGTGGAGGGGACAAGCAAGTGAGGAGGAGGTGAGGAATGCTGCTGTGGACAGTAGGGCTGATTTAGAGCATTGGTGAGGCACCGGACTCGACTCGGGGGGAAAAGCAGGACCCTAGGCTTCTCTCTCCAAATTTTCACTTTACAGTTTTCTTTTAGCTGGTGAGTGTGTCAGAATGTTTGAGCCCTTCAGTTTTGGTCATGCAGATTTCAGATGATTTACGAGAGTTGGAGATTGTACTGCTTTTCTGGGCTCTTGGGAGTTTCCTGCTATTCCTGTTAGTGCCAGTGAAACTGTGCTCACCCTGTGCAAGAGGCAGTCCCCGGAGTCAGTAAATCTAAACCTGAGTACTGCTCGTTCTGCAGTGCTAGGGATGGAATGGAAAGGAGGGAACTGCTTCCTGACCCTTCAGGTGCAATATGAGGAGAGACAATGCACTCTGGAGTCGAGGGGGTGTTTCTTGTTCGTACCTCCACTTGAGGGTGGGATGATTTTTCCTTGGCTGTGATTTCAGAACATTCCTGATCTTTGTTTATGCCTTCCTTATATGAATGGCACACCTGCTTTTATGTTGTTTGCTATCAGTACTGCCAACTCCATCAAAAGCATATTGCTTTCTTCCCTAAATAGACCAAGCCGCTTTGTAGCTGCGCTTGCTTTGTGATGTTGCTTTTTTCTTTTCTTCTTCTTTATTTTTTTCATTAGTTGTCTCGCTGTTGGAAGAGTTGTAAAACAATTTCTGTTAGTACGTGCGATTGTTTTAACTTTTTCTGAGCAGATACAATACATGAGGGTTTCAGCTTTCTCATGTTTGGAAAAAAAGTAAATCTTGCGAATTCCCAGACAATGTAATTACTTTTAAAGTATGCAGTAGTGAGGAAATCCTAGGCTGTTAAAAGGGTTCAGGATCTTGAATGGCTGAGAGCTTGGCAGCTGTTTGTGGGAGAAAGCGCTGCTTGTGAGTCTGATGTGGACTAATTCAGGGACTAATTACGAACTATCCCACAGAAACCTTTTGTATGGGGTCTGGAGGCTGGCTTCGTGGTGGTGGCAGCAGAAGAGCAGGAGCATGCAAGTAACTTATTGTGTGGACTGCTTGTGTAGGGTTTCCATTTAGACCTCTTTCACTGGCATCTTTTTGACCGATGAAAGGAAACTTCCCCTCCCCCCCATCAGGTGGATGAACTTGATAATACGTATTTTTAACCTTTTTTTTCAGTGTTTGGTCTTGGGTGTTTTGGTACTTCTTGTGAAGCAGTTCTATCTGCCACGTGTCTTTGATATCAAAAAGATGAAGAGTGCTTGTGAAGACCCTGTCTCCAAGCTATTCTTTCTTCTCTTAGCACACAAGGCAAAAGTCTAAGAAAGCCTGCAGAAGGGCATTGGTCCTTGGAGAGAGCTGCTCAAGCTTGTCAAGGTTTTGCTGCCTCAAGAACTAGCGGCAGGCCCAAGAGAATAAGCTGCCTCTTGAAAGCAGATTCAACTCTCTGGTGAATAGGGATGTTTTACCTCCTTTGTTTCTTTCGTAGGTACGTGGTGAGGTGACAGCTTTGGAACATGGCATTCAACAAGATTTGGTGTACTGTCGCCCTTGGACTTCTGCTGCCTTTTTCCTATGCCCATACAGACTTCTTCACTTCCATTGGTGAGACTTGCTTTGGTGTATATGCTGCATAACCACAAGAATTTCTTGATGGCTCTCAAAGCTGATTCTGCAGTGATGTGTTAATGACATGCAAGGCTTTAATTAGTACAGAACTACATCTGCTTACAAGTTTTACAAGTTCTTATGACCTTATTGACTTTTTTTTTTTTTTTTTCGGGAGAAACATCATTTGAGTTAAGTCGGTGCAGTTGGTCTAGTGACCCAGGCTAGGCTCTGTGTTCATTATGTATTCTCATAGGTACTGACTTCTGAAGAAAATTTTGTTGTGGACTGTTACACACGTGTAGAAGCACGCAGAACAGCTGCTGAGGGTACAGAATGATCCCAGTATGTCAGCCTACTCTCTCTTGGGTTCTGATGGCCTGTGACACAGCTGAAGATGTGGACTTCAGTTCAGCTGCCTCCTTGCAGGAAATGAAGCCATTGTTAATTAATAACAGAGTTTGTTAGGAGACCCATTGAACTCATGCAAGTAATCTTAAAAATAAAACACTGGATTAGTATTGTAGATCAAACACAAAGTCTTTGTATATTTCTATAACTTGGTCTTTATTTGCTCTGCATTATATATGCTTGGATGAAAGATTACTCTCTTGCAACCTTCTTTTCCAAATGAATCCTATATTAGTTCTAATAATAAATATGTGATATTACATTAATTTCCATGGCAACAAGCTTGGTACAACACGAGATTTTCTCCAAAAAAAAAAAAAAAGGGCAAGAAGCCTTACTCAAATACTCCTTCAGAATTATTTAAGCAAATGCAGAAGGTCTATAGAGAAGAAAGAGTTGAAGAGGGGAAGAAAGTCTCTTAATTCTCAGTTCTCAGTTTTTTTGTTTCTCCTTGTCTAACCAAACTCATTTGTTTTCTAGGTCATATGACAGATTTAATTAATACAGAAAAAGATCTGGTGGTGTCACTGAAAGATTACATCAAGGCAGAAGAAAGCAAGTTGGAACAGATCAAAAAGTAAGCAGCTTGTTTCATAATGCACATAGTTAATAATTTGAGTCCACCCTTATGTAAAAAGTGCTTCCCAAGGCTGATTAAATTTGTGGAATTTTTCCTCTGAGGCAAAGCTTAAACTGGCAGGTTTTGTCCTAAGTTATTATCTCTGAGCCATTGGTTTGTTTTATGTAGCTTTCTAATGATGAAATCTAATCAACCCGCGTTTCATATGATACCTTCCTTCACTTCAGGACTCCTGCTTGCATGTGATTCCCAAGGGGATGTAATTTTTTGAATGACAAATTTGCGTAGTGGAAACTAAAGCCCAAGAAGTCTCCAAATGAGCGTTACAAGGACTTGCAATGATACATTAGATGTAAAAGTGCTAAAAATAGTGTGGCCATATTGCCCATGAATGGCTAATTGATGAATAGTAATAACCCACTACCAGAGCAGATTCTCTTTCTGCGTGCTATATTTAGATTTAAAAGTAAAATAAAGCAAAACAAAATTTCTTTACTGCTTTTAAAAATAACAAGGGACCTGACTGTTGCCATTACTGTGTTGCTCGGCTCTATAGGTGTGATGACCAGAGCCCAATATGTCAGATTTTTATCACAGCTAGAAATAAAAGTTTTTGTACCACTGAACAGGATGGTTTCCTGACTTTCAAATTACGTGTAAGTCTGCCATGAGGATTCAGTTTTAGATAAATGCATGAATTTTATTTTAGCCTTTGTGTATTACATTCTACCATCCAGGAAGAAAGATACTTCTGTCGGACTGTATTATTTTTATCACTTAAAATACAGAGTTGGAGTTACTCACAGGTTTGGAATGTGATAAGTATATTCTTTACAGCTACAAATTAAGGTGGGAGCCATGCCCATTGGACATCCAAAAGTGTGTAAATACAGCTTATCATATAAGTACAGCAACTCTGTTTTTATTATCTTAGAGGTGCTGACTTGTCAGTCACAAAAATTAAAATAACTGCCCCAGGGAGACAGAAGGAACTGGGCAAAACACCAGCATCCTTTGAGTTTTTTGAGGTTGGGCTCTCTACTTTGGATGAATGATATTGGTAGCTTGTGTTGATTTAAACTCAGTGAAAGCTGGTAATGTGCTGAAAAGCGGAGGATGGCTTGCACCTTGTGGGTGACTTGTGGCGGAGGCTTTTATGAAAGAGAAACTACTTGAAAGAAATCCTGGCCTTGTGGTCGTGGCTCACGGTTGCGGTGACTTTCAGCTGCTTATTAGCTGTGATAGTCATGCTGTGGGAAACGTGTGATGGGTTTGACCACGTGTGATGTGAATGCACAGTTTGTTGAAATGGCTTTCTTCAGCCTGTGGCTTGCTAGAAGTTGGAGTTGGTCCGTGGGACTGCTCTGGGCACCCCATTTTGGAGGGAACCCCAGTTGTAAACATCTACCTGTCTCAGGTAAAGCAGGCAAACTGCATTCTGGAACAAGCAGAACACCAGCTCATGTACAGAGTTCCCTCCAGGCTATGGATTTTGTATTTGCTTTATAGTGGTGTTGATGTTTGGTATGCTCTGTAGGGTGTGGCTTTTTTTAATGTTAATTTATCCTGTTTTTTGGGCGTTGTTTCATGTCTTCGTGTTCTAGATCTGCATTGTTTCGGAGAGGGGAAGTTTGGTTGATTTGCAGACATGTAGCAGCATAGCGCTGGGACTTACGGCATGCTGACGTGCTTCCTGAGGGCACCAGACTCCCTGGATGTTTCCATTAAAACAACAGATGAATAACAGTAGTTGTTGAAAGGTGTTCTTGTTTCAGAGTGCATTGGAGTTGTGAAGGGCTTGTGTCACTGACAGCCTTAGAGGGGTTTGTGCAGTCAGAACTGGAGCACCAGGAAGTTGATCTGGGCTCCTCAGTTGGGAGTGACGGGAGATTTTCCTGATGAAATTGAACAAGGGTAAATGTATGGTGCTGCACCTGGGGAGGAATAACCCCCTGCACCAGGGCAGGTTGGGGGTGACCTGCTGGAGAGTAGCTCTCAGGTGGACAAGAGGATGCCCATGAGCCAGCAATGGGCCCTTGTGGCCAAGAAGGCCAATGGCATCCTGGGGGGCATCAGGAAGAGTGTGAGCAGCAGGTGGAGGGAGGTCATCCTGCCCCTCTGCTCTGCCCTGGGGAGGCCCCATCTGGAGCACTGGGACCAGTTCTGGGCTCCCCAGTTCCAGAAGGACAGGGAACTGCTGGAGAGGGGACAGCAGAGGCTACAGAGATGATGAGGGGCCTGGAGCATCTCTCTCATGAGGAGAGGTTGAAGGACTTGGGGCTTTTTAGTCTGGAGAAGAGAAGGCTGAGGGGGGATCTGATCAACGCCTATAAATGCTTAAAGGGTGGGTGTCAGGAGGATGGGGCCAGTCTTCTTTCAGTGGTGCCCAGGGACAGGACAAGAGGAAATGGGCACACACTGGGAACATGAGAAGTTCCATCTAAACATGAGGAGGAACTTCTTTCCTGTGAGGGTGGCAGAGCCCTGGCAGAGGCTGCCCAGGGAGGTGGTGGAGTCTCCTTCTCTGGAGACATTCAAACCCCACCTGGACACGATCCTGTGGGACCTGCTCTGGGTGGACCTGCTTTGGCAGGGGGTTGGACTAGATGATCTCCAGAGGTCCCTTCCAACATGATAGCATTCTGTGATTCTGTGAGTGTGGGAACTGCATGTTTCTTGATAAAAGCTTACAGTATGGAAGGTGGTTTTGCGGTGGGAGGCAAGGGGCTTATTGTAGATTTAAGAGAGTGTGTCTGAATGTAAAATAATTTGAGAGAAGCATTGAACTACCTTTTTGTAAACTTTAGAAAAAAAAGATTGAAAATGTGGGCAAAGCTTTGTTTTTGATTAGTCCTGCATGAAGACTCACAATGGAACTGCTGCCATTCTGCATTTTGTGTTTGTAGGAAGGAGTTCATTCAGCAGCGTTCCAACAAAGACCACAAGAGCAACACAAGATTTAGACTGCAGCTGAGAAGGAAGATTTAAAAAAGAAAAAAAAAAAAGCAAAGAAAAAAGCCCCTTTTGTTCCTTCTAGGAGAGCTTTATACACAGAGAATATAAAAGCTTGCAATTTCTGTTGGGATTTTTATTAGCAAAGACTCTTGAGTAGCTTGAAATCAGTTTTATAGTGCGTTGGCAAACTTTTACAAGAGACTGTAATGAATGTGTATTTTCACTACAGATGGGCAGAGAAATTGGATCAGCTGACAGACACTGCTACGAAAGACCCAGAGGGGTTTTTGGGACACCCTGTGAATGCATTCAAATTGATGAAACGACTTAACACAGAGTGGGGTGAGCTGGAGAGCCTGGTTCTGAAGGACATGTCAGATGGTAAGTGTGCCTGTAGTAAGAACGAGGATCACATTCTAATTGCATTTACTTGACTATGTCCTTCACATGTCATGGTTTGAATTAGATTTATGTGTCTGGTTTTGAGGTGCCTTCATAAAAAATAATCCCAGAAGAACTGCTGTTTTGCTGTCAGTGTGCTATAATTTGAGCTTTACAAAAATTTAGGAAAACTGTGATGTTAAACTGAATAATCTCCTTGGATGCATTAAATTTTGCAGGTGATCTGGGCGTGCTTCATATACTCTCCCACTTCTTGCAAGCTAGTATTTTAGGAAGTTTCAGCTGTAAATGTGATGACTCCATTGAACTGAAAAAAGGCAACAGAATCCAGAGTGCAAGACCTGTGGGGTTGTCTTTGAGTATGGTCAAGTGCTGTTACTGCTGATATGCCTGGTGTTATGTTAAGGAGTGATGGTTCGAAACCTGAATGTTGGCAGAGACTGAGCAGTTGTAGAACTGACCTGAATTAGTGTAGTAAACACTTCCATGTCTCTCTTCCTCTGCAAGAGTGGCAGTTCTTCAGTAGAGAAACACGATACAAAAGAGTTGACTGTGAAAGAGGCTTATATCAGCAAGGAAGCCAGAATGATTATATTTGACCTGTGAAAATCTGCCCCACAACTAACTAATACCAGGTGTAGGTTTGTAGCAAGAAATGTAAAAAAAGTGGAGCTTTTTTCACACAATTCAGCACATTCAGCTTCCCTGTTCCTGCTGTGAGGGACTGAACATACCAACTGAAAGGGCTCTGTACCCACCAGCCAGAAATCTGGACCAGTGCATCTTAAGTCCTTCTGAATGGAGAGGGGTAGGGGAGAAAGTGGACTGTTTCAAGAAGATTGTCAGGAAAAAGCAGAATATCGGGGGAAGCATAGTGTAGTAAAAGAAAAGATGCATGGGGGTGAAAGGATATAGTATTTTTTGAAGCATGAACACATTTCCATAAACTAATGGTGTTATCAGGTCTGAGCAGTTAAAAAGCACTACCGGAGTGTGGCAAAAATCACAAATTTGACCGGTTGATTGGGGGTTTTTGAGGGTTTTCCAGCTGTGTGTTGCATACTATGTTTTGTCTGGTTTTGATCATGCTGCTTAGTGTTCTCCTGGTGGCCGTTAGATGAAGTTGGCACAGTTGGCACTTGGTTAACAGCGTAAAGCTTCTGGTGCTTCTGGATCTTGAGACAAAAGAGTTTGCTGAGTAGAAAAGTTAACTTTTCTGAAAATGCCAGAGTGGCTGTCAGTTTGCTCAAACTCAGGTCCTCATGATGGCTTTGGTGCTCTTCTTTTTGGTGGCTTTGTGTACCAGGATGCTGGTTCTGTGCTCCTCAGCTGCCCTCCTGGCTTTCTGGAGTTCCGTTTCCCTCATCGGGGCAAGCAGCCCACAAGACTTGTGACTCTGCAGAAGCAGAAGGGAAAAAGTAGTGCCAGTTCTCCCACCAAGAGAGGATAACGCACTAGCTCTGCAGGAGGGCCCTCCGAGTAGATGGATCTTGAGAAACCTCTTAAACTTCGTGTGTTTCTCAAGTTTCCATGTAAATACATTAATGCCCAAGTCCACAGAAAGCAGTTAGGTTCGTAGTGTCTGCTTAGTTGCCTAAAGTCTTGTAAAAAGCTGTTTGTAATTAGACAATCAGCATTTTTGTGTTTCATCTTTTTGTTGACCAGTCTTAATCTTTACACTGCTATTCTTATGCACTGTTTCTTTTTTTCCTCTTCTAAGTTATTTGTAAATTCCATGTTACCAAATAGCCTTTTGGAAGGCAGATTCAGTAGAATGGTTGCAAAAACTACCAATATATTATTTATAATAATAATATATATAATAATAATAGTATTCTCCATAAAAGAAAAAAAAAAAAGCAAAGAAAAAAGCCCCTTTTGTTCCTTCTAGGAGAGCTTTATACACAGAGAATATAAAAGCTTGCAATTTCTGTTGGGATTTTTATTAGCAAAGACTCTTGAGTAGCTTGAAATCAGTTTTATAGTGCGTTGGCAAACTTTTACAAGAGACTGTAATGAATGTGTATTTTCACTACAGATGGGCAGAGAAATTGGATCAGCTGACAGACACTGCTACGAAAGACCCAGAGGGGTTTTTGGGACACCCTGTGAATGCATTCAAATTGATGAAACGACTTAACACAGAGTGGGGTGAGCTGGAGAGCCTGGTTCTGAAGGACATGTCAGATGGTAAGTGTGCCTGTAGTAAGAACGAGGATCACATTCTAATTGCATTTACTTGACTATGTCCTTCACATGTCATGGTTTGAATTAGATTTATGTGTCTGGTTTTGAGGTGCCTTCATAAAAAATAATCCCAGAAGAACTGCTGTTTTGCTGTCAGTGTGCTATAATTTGAGCTTTACAAAAATTTAGGAAAACTGTGATGTTAAACTGAATAATCTCCTTGGATGCATTAAATTTTGCAGGTGATCTGGGCGTGCTTCATATACTCTCCCACTTCTTGCAAGCTAGTATTTTAGGAAGTTTCAGCTGTAAATGTGATGACTCCATTGAACTGAAAAAAGGCAACAGAATCCAGAGTGCAAGACCTGTGGGGTTGTCTTTGAGTATGGTCAAGTGCTGTTACTGCTGATATGCCTGGTGTTATGTTAAGGAGTGATGGTTCGAAACCTGAATGTTGGCAGAGACTGAGCAGTTGTAGAACTGACCTGAATTAGTGTAGTAAACACTTCCATGTCTCTCTTCCTCTGCAAGAGTGGCAGTTCTTCAGTAGAGAAACACGATACAAAAGAGTTGACTGTGAAAGAGGCTTATATCAGCAAGGAAGCCAGAATGATTATATTTGACCTGTGAAAATCTGCCCCACAACTAACTAATACCAGGTGTAGGTTTGTAGCAAGAAATGTAAAAAAAGTGGAGCTTTTTTCACACAATTCAGCACATTCAGCTTCCCTGTTCCTGCTGTGAGGGACTGAACATACCAACTGAAAGGGCTCTGTACCCACCAGCCAGAAATCTGGACCAGTGCATCTTAAGTCCTTCTGAATGGAGAGGGGTAGGGGAGAAAGTGGACTGTTTCAAGAAGATTGTCAGGAAAAAGCAGAATATCGGGGGAAGCATAGTGTAGTAAAAGAAAAGATGCATGGGGGTGAAAGGATATAGTATTTTTTGAAGCATGAACACATTTCCATAAACTAATGGTGTTATCAGGTCTGAGCAGTTAAAAAGCACTACCGGAGTGTGGCAAAAATCACAAATTTGACCGGTTGATTGGGGGTTTTTGAGGGTTTTCCAGCTGTGTGTTGCATACTATGTTTTGTCTGGTTTTGATCATGCTGCTTAGTGTTCTCCTGGTGGCCGTTAGATGAAGTTGGCACAGTTGGCACTTGGTTAACAGCGTAAAGCTTCTGGTGCTTCTGGATCTTGAGACAAAAGAGTTTGCTGAGTAGAAAAGTTAACTTTTCTGAAAATGCCAGAGTGGCTGTCAGTTTGCTCAAACTCAGGTCCTCATGATGGCTTTGGTGCTCTTCTTTTTGGTGGCTTTGTGTACCAGGATGCTGGTTCTGTGCTCCTCAGCTGCCCTCCTGGCTTTCTGGAGTTCCGTTTCCCTCATCGGGGCAAGCAGCCCACAAGACTTGTGACTCTGCAGAAGCAGAAGGGAAAAAGTAGTGCCAGTTCTCCCACCAAGAGAGGATAACGCACTAGCTCTGCAGGAGGGCCCTCCGAGTAGATGGATCTTGAGAAACCTCTTAAACTTTGTGTGTTTCTCAAGTTTTCATGTAAATACATTAATGCCTAAGTCCACAGAAAGCAGTTAGGTTCGTAGTGTCTGCTTAGTTGCCTAAAGTCTTGTAAAAAGCTGTTTGTAATTAGACAATCAGCATTTTTGTGTTTCATCTTTTTGTTGACCAGTCTTAATCTTTACACTGCTATTCTTATGCACTGTTTCTTTTTTTCCTCTTCTAAGTTATTTGTAAATTCCATGTTACCAAATAGCCTTTTGGAAGGCAGATTCAGTAGAATGGTTGCAAAAACTACCAATATATTATTTATAATAATAATATATATAATAATAATAGTATTCTCCATGTAGGGGTGGTCTTTTATTTCTATGCAAGGTGGGTTTTTTTTTTAATCTGTTAAGACAAAATTAATTTCTGCATCCCAGAAGAACTGCTGTTTTGCTGTCAGTGTGCTATAATTTGAGCTTTACAAAAATTTAGGAAAACTGTGATGTTAAACTGAATAATCTCCTTGGATGCATTAAATTTTGCAGGTGATCTGGGCGTGCTTCATATACTCTCCCACTTCTTGCAAGCTAGTATTTTAGGAAGTTTCAGCTGTAAATGTGATGACTCCATTGAACTGAAAAAAGGCAACAGAATCCAGAGTGCAAGACCTGTGGGGTTGTCTTTGAGTATGGTCAAGTGCTGTTACTGCTGATATGCCTGGTGTTATGTTAAGGAGTGATGGTTCGAAACCTGAATGTTGGCAGAGACTGAGCAGTTGTAGAACTGACCTGAATTAGTGTAGTAAACACTTCCATGTCTCTCTTCCTCTGCAAGAGTGGCAGTTCTTCAGTAGAGAAACACGACACAAAAGAGTTGACTGTGAAAGAGGCTTATATCAGCAAGGAAGCCAGGATGATTATATTTGACCTGTGAGAATCTGTCTCAACAACTAACTAATACCAGGTGTAGGTTTGTAGCAAGAAATGTAAAAAAAGTGGAGCTTTTTTCACACAATTCAGCACATTCAGCTTCCCTGTTCCTGCTGTGAGGGACTGAACATACCAACTGAAAGGGCTCTGTACCCGCCAGCCAGAAATCTGGACCAGTACATCTTAAGTCCTTCTGAATGGAGAGGGGTAGGGGGGGAAAGTGGACTGTTTCAATAAAATTGTCAGGAAAAGAGAATACTGGGGGTAGCATAGTGTAGTAAAAGAAAAGATGCATGGGAGTGAGAGGATATAGTATTTTTTTAAAGCACAAACACCTTTCCATAAACTAATGGTGTTATCAGGTCTGAGCAGTTAAAAAGGACTACCAGAGTGTGGCAAAAATCACAAATTTGTCCAGTTGATTGGGGGTTTTTCATGGTTTTCCAGCTGTGTGTTGCATACTATGTTTTGTCTGGTTTTGATCATGCTGCTTAGTGTTCTACTGGTGGCCATTAGATGAACTTAAACATCGTATTGGCACCATCCTTGGTTAACAGTGTAAAGCTTCTGGTGCTTCTGGATCTTGAGACAAAAGAGTTTGCTGAGTAGAAAAGTTAACTTTTCTGAAAATGCCAGAGTGGCTGTCAGTTTGCTCAAACTCAGGTCCTCATGATGGCTTTGGTGCTCTTCTTTTTGGTGGCTTTGTGTACCAGGATGCTGGTTCTGTGCTCCTCAGCTGCCCTCCTGGCTTTCTGGAGTTCCGTTTCCCTCATCGGGGCAAGCAGCCCACAAGACTTGTGACTCTGCAGAAGCAGAAGGGAAAAAGTAGTGCCAGTTCTCCCACCAAGAGAGGATAACGCACTAGCTCTGCAGGAGGGCCCTCCGAGTAGATGGATCTTGAGAAACCTCTTAAACTTTGTGTGTTTCTCAAGTTTTCATGTAAATACATTAATGCCTAAGTCCACAGAAAGCAGTTAGGTTCGTAGTGTCTGCTTAGTTGCCTAAAGTCTTGTAAAAAGCTGTTTGTAATTAGACAATCAGCATTTTTGTGTTTCATCTTTTTGTTGACCAGTCTTAATCTTTACACTGCTATTCTTATGCACTGTTTCTTTTTTTCCTCTTCTAAGTTATTTGTAAATTCCATGTTACCAAATAGCCTTTTGGAAGGCAGATTCAGTAGAATGGTTGCAAAAACTACCAATATATTATTTATAATAATAATATATATAATAATAATAGTATTCTCCATGTAGGGGTGGTCTTTTATTTCTATGCAAGGTGGGTTTTTTTTTTAATCTGTTAAGACAAAATTAATTTCTGCATGAAACCAAAGGGGTACTCCTGTCCTTTAGAAACAAACTCAATGGTGTTGGAGGTCGGCAGGTCTAATAGCTTTTCTTGGCTTATTAACAGCCTTTTCTGAAATGTTAGCTTTCCCATTTTATGCATAGAGTTTACAGAATTCCTGGGACAGAGAAGACTCAGTGTGTCCCTGTCTTCCCAGGCTTTATCTCCAACATGACTATCCAGCGGCAGTTTTTCCCAAACGATGAAGATCAGACTGGTGCAGCAAAAGCCCTCTTGCGGCTTCAAGACACTTATAATTTGGACACGGACACCCTCTCAAGAGGGAATCTTCCAGGTAAGAGTCATTTATGTTATTTTCAGAGGATACTGTGACCTTATACTACATTCTGTGATTCTGTAAATGTCCCAATTACAAAGATCACAAATCAGATACCTAGTTTTATTGCAAAATGTAATGCATTTTAATAAAACCGTTCTATCATTTATTATCCCTTTCCCTGTCGCGGGTAAGATGGACCTTTGACATTGGGAGTGACTGAAGTTTCTTTGAGCTTAAACTTCACCGAGTGTATAAACTGAGAAACAAAAGACAGAGGGTGTATCACCCGCACACACAGACTTGAGTTTGTGGCATTACCAAAGGTAATTTTTAATAGGTTTATATGCAGGAGAAGACATGCTTCTTTCCTGTTAGAAGACTCTTTCTCTGCTGAGTTTTCCTTGTTTGCTCTGTTCAGAACCAGTACTGTGCCAACTGGCAAAAAGTCAAATCTGTGCAATCCATCTGTGTTTTTTCAAGCACTCATTGTGGTCAGATGTCTAATAAAATTAAGGGTAATTGGATTTATATGTTATGATATATAACCTTGCTTTTGGGTTTAGTTCAAGACTGTCTCAAAGACATAGACATTCATTCTACTACAATAAGCAATTCGTTATTGTTTTCTTAAACCAGCACAAAAATACAAGGCCAAGTGCTTCGGGTGGACTGTAGTTTATTGCTTCTATTGAAGCAATAAGCTGTCCAGACTGTGTGTAATAAAGTGTAATTTCAGAACCCATAAGTTCTCGAGTATAAAAGAGAATGGATTGGTCTCTTCAGAGCTCCAGAGAGGACCATCCCATGTGATCACTTGTCTGTGCTCTTTGTCTTCTTTCCCAGGGAATTTCTGTTAGGCCAGGTCACCAAGATTTGATCAGTCATAACTACTGTCATATTGCTTATTAATTCTCTTTCCTGCATTACAGGTTGTGCTGTTTCTTTAAATTAACTATCAACCCTATTTGATTGCTGTCTTAAGCAGCCTTTTAGGAGTTGCCACTTCGTGTGTGGATGTTTTGTTGCTTCTAAATACTGGGCTATGGCCCTGCAGCCTGTTACTCATTCCAAAGGATCTCTCTGAGAGCACTCCACCACCACCACCTCACCCCGTTCCCTCCTCTTTGTGTTATTGTGGAGTTTGCAGCTTCAGGCTCAGAAAACTAAAATGACTGGCCATCACAGGATGACCACGAGGTGTATAATTAGTGAGAAGAAACAAATTTATATGGGATACTGCTTTAGGTGGACTGTCTCTTCAGCTATTTCATCTCTTAAAGCATGTCTTCAGCAGAAGAATTCCCCTGTGGGAGCCGCTGTTAGACATTCAGGATGTATTAAGATGTAACCATGAATGTAATTTTAGCTGTAAAACTGGCAGGTCCTGTTTCCTTTTTACAAGATTAAATTTGGTTTTTCATTGGGCTTTAATTTACAGTGGCAAAAATAGGAATCTGTAGTTTGCTTACTAGTGCTTTAGTATTTCAGAGGTCTCTTCAGATGTTTCTAAAAATGACTAACTTAAAAAAAATCTTGAGCAGCTGGGAATTTACTGACTGATGTTTTCTTTTTCCTCCCCCACTAAGTTGTCGCTAACAAGATTTGTTTCGGGAACGTTTTGACAGTGATAACACAATGTCTTTGAAAACAGGTTTCTGAAACTTTGTGTTTGGCTTATTGCTCTTGCTCAAGGTGTTTGGGATTTTGAAGAAGGAAGGTTTATTTTATTTTCCACTAATGGTAAAGACATCTAGCTAGTTGCTGGTATTCTGGCAACGGAAAACTGCATCTAACCTCTTAACGTGTTCTGCCAAGGATATACAGGCTTTAGATGCTTAAACTGAGTCTCCAACAACTAGCCACCGCAGAAGGGAGGTGTTGAAGAACAGAAATAAACTGTGCTGTGAAAAATAAGAAATATCTCAATGTTCCTCCGAGGACTGGCCTGGAATTCTGTGTAAATTCTGTTTGGTTTGCTTTAAATGCAGGTGTGAAGCACAAATCCTTTTTAACAGCTGAAGATTGCTTTGAGCTGGGAAAAATTGCCTACACTGAAGCTGACTATTACCACACTGAGCTCTGGATGGAACAAGCTCTGAAACAGTTGGATGAGGGAGAAGTGTCTTCTGCAGATAAAGTCTACATCCTGGACTACCTGAGTTACGCTGTGTATCAGCAGGGGGATCTGAGCAAAGCCATGATGCTCACCAAACGCCTTCTGGAACTGGGTATGTGGGGGACCTGCAGCTCACACCAGTCTAGCTCTTGACGTGTAGCTTTGAGTAAAATTAAGACTTGTGTTACCATAAGTCATATTTTGCTACCAGGTTTTACATGGACAATTACAGTCTCAACTACCATGTCATGGTTAAGGATTGCTTCTTTCTTTTGATGTATTTTGTGCCTCCTGTCACTGTTGGCTTCTAACCACTTACCCATCTTAGTCATTACTGCCTGAAATGTGGTTCTCTTGCTCTCTCTTGCTTTCCTGTGCTGAGATTACTTCCCCTGAGGTAGAGACGGGAACTTATTAGTGAAACTGAAACTAAGTAGGTAACACCAAAATCTCTGCAGGTTATTTAAGTGCAAATTAAGCATACTTGGGATTAAAAACTTGGAAAAATAAGAAATGCAGAATGCAATAGAGTGAGCTAAGATTCTGTCTGTTTTATGACATTCGAAGAGTGTTTATGCTTCTGTAAATATGCCACTGATGGACTGTGTAAAGGACTCACTGATTTGATAGAGTTGGAAGGGACCTCTAGAGATCATCTGGTCCAATTCCCCTGCTAAGCAGGATTGCCTAGGAGACATCACTCAGGAATGCATCAAGGATGCCTTGGGAAGTTTAGAACTAAACCTAATATAGCAAAGGCTAATGAGAACCATTTATTAATGAACTGAAGCTAATTCTCTAAGTCTAGTGATTGTTAAAAGCTTTGTCACCATCAGGGAAGTTTTAAGGTGTAAAGCCAGTCATGCTGTGCCAGCTCTCTCCCTGTCCCGTTTCCTTCTCTCTCTCTCTGTGATGAGATGGGCTGGAATGGCCAACCCCTTTTTCTTAATACTTGGACCCCTGTGCCTGCAGAGGACCCAGGCCTCCTGTAAGCAGTTTCTTTTCAGAGTTGTGCTTAACTCTGAAAGCTCATTGTGGGTTTTCCTGCAGATGAGTGAGGATATGTGCATGCTGCAGGCTAGCGTCACTTCCAGCTTAGCTCAATGTTTTAGCTGTCCTGGGAAAGCTCTCAAACTAGAATAGATGTTTCTAATTTCTATTTGAGAAGCAGTAGTGTGCATCTGGTTTGTTTTTGTAAATAGCCTCTTTGGGATACTTCTTCACAAGTTGGAAACTTGCCAGCCATACTTGTCTGTTTCTTTGTCAATAGATCCGGAACATCAAAGAGCAAACGGGAACATGAAATATTTTGAATATATCATGGCTAAAGAAAAAGAGGCAAATAAGTCCAGTACGGGTTCAGAAGACCAGGTGGAGAAGGAAACTGAGGTTAAGAAAAAGGATTACCTGCCCGAGAGAAGGAAGTACGAAATGCTGTGCCGTGGGGAGGGTCTCAAAATGGTAAAGTGGAGTAGACTGTTTTCAAATGTATGAAACCAACCATAACAAAACAATGTCCAGAACATGTATGTGGTGTGAAAGCAAAGAAGTTGTTACAGCAGTTGGCTGACTGTGTGGAACTGAGGACTAGCATGTGTTGGATTTCTTCCCCGTTTCGTTCTGTTCAGCAGACAAAAAGTAATACTGCCACAGGCACTGCTAACTTGGATGCACTACGTAATTGTGATTAATTGAATAAGGATGCTGGAAGTCTAGAATTGCATACGGAATTGAATGAGGGTGGTTTTTTAGTGATAAAATTATTTTTAATAGGACTATGTAAAATACAGTTTGTTGCAGTATTACAGAGTAACATTAATGTGCTGAAAGAACTAATTTATCAAACTCAAAGAATCACTTCGACTCTTAACATAACATTCAGGTTGGGAAAGTGAATCGTTCCTGTCTCTTATTCTCGGGACATCTTCTGTTTCTTAGAGGTACTGTTGTCATCTGGCAGTTCTCTGACTGTCTCTTGTTCCACCTGGCTTTCAGACTCCTCGGAGACAAAAAAGACTCTTCTGCCGCTATTACGACGGAAACAGGAATCCTCGATACATTCTGGGCCCCGTCAAACAGGAAGATGAGTGGGACAAACCTCGAATTGTTCGCTTCCTCGACATCATCTCCGATGAAGAGATCGAAACTGTGAAAGAACTGGCAAAGCCGAGGGTAAATGCTTTATGCTTCTTTACCTTTTGGAATCTTAAATTTTGTGTGTAGTTTTCCGTGTGAGTATGTGCGACTCTGTCTCCTCTTGAACACAGGTGTGTGCCCGGGGTGCTCACACATTGCTTTTCTCACCCTCTGGCTTTTGGTGACACATTCTTTGAAGGAAAGTGGGAAAGCTAGAAATTTGGTGTAATTAAAAGAGCCAGGTAACACAAGTGCAGAATTGTCAGGCTCTTCTGGCAGACACAATGTCAGTGCACACTGTTCCAGATGAGGAGGAGAATGTGCTACAACAGACAAGAAACGTACTGCAGCTAGGTTGCCTTGAAGTATATGTGTCATCTGGTTTTTGTTTGGTGTTCTGGTTTTGGGGTTTTTTCTTATTTAAGTGTATATTTACCAAAGTTGTGACATGGAGAGGAGTGCCATCAAGGAGAGGCAGCCATTCCTCTGCTCTTGGAATGACAGCACGTTAACGAGTAGACAAGAATGAGTGTTTGCATTCTCCAGTCAGCATAAAACTGACTTCTGTCCCCCAGGCTTTCAAGTTGCCTGCAGATGAAAGAGCTTTAAGGGGGCAGTAGTTAATCAGTGGTACTCGGCTTCTTATTCCCAGTGCCAGCTCCTCAAATCCTAGTTCAGAACCTGCATCCCAAGGTTCTTGTTTCTGAATGCGGAATACTCCGGGGCAGCTCAGCTGTCAGAGTAAACAGGACTGTCCATGACAAACAGCAAACTGAAGGAGAAGTTCGGCAACTTCTGTAGCCAGTTGGTGTGACTCTGCATCTCAAGGTGTATGTTGAAGATGTAGTTAGTTAAATTGATTTATATTTACCAGTTACTTCTAAAGTAAGATTTAAACTTGTAGGGTTGAAGATGTAGTTAGTTAAATTGATTTATTTTTCCATCAATTACCAGTTACTCCTAAAGTAAGATTTAAACTTGTAGAAATATAATTTTCCTGCTTTTTTCTTTGTTTTTAGCCTACATGGCTTTTTGTCCTGAGAGAGCTGAGCAAATGGAGATAAGGGGGATAAGTGCATTAGGTGTAGGACAGACTGTTAGCCTGGCCTGCTGCGAAGCAAACTGGCTGGGGGTTATACACGGGCACATCCAGGATGAGCCTGTCCTTGGCCACCACACTGAGTGCTAGGTAGCCTGAAGGCTATTTTAAAGCTTCCTAAAGGCTGATGGGTTGTATTTCTGAGGTAACGTTTTCAACCGTAGGCAAAAAGTGCAAGAAATTCTCTTCACTTACCTGTAAATCGTCTCTTTCTGCTCTCCTGTCAGGCAACCTTGCTGCAGGTTTAAAAATCAGAGCCCTGGTGGTTTAGCTGTAGATGGTTAAGCCCCTTTGCTGCTGCAAAAGCTCTAGGCATTACATCTGTGGAATATGAGTGAATCACTTCTTTATGGAGTAGAAATAAGTCTCCACTGAGAACAAAAACCTGTGAATGTGGTGATTTTAACTTCTGAACTTGCTGAGATAATTGTTTTCCTATCAAATGTTTGGCTCGTGGTAAAGACTTGGGGTTTCATAGTTGATTAACGCAGAAACATCTGTGTGTGCTCAGTGTTCCTCACATCCCCTACGGCTGAGGCCTTGCAGGGCTCACTAACGAGTGCAGCAAGAGGATTGGGGTTTTTGAGACTGAAAGGTCACCTCCTCCTTCCCGACACTGGGATGTTACCAGTGCCACCTCCCGGAGGGCAGCGCTGCCTGGTCCCTGCCCAGCCTTCTGTGGTGCTGGCAGGGTGAAGCTGCCTTAGTCAGCTTTTGGAGTCTCGCTGCAATTGCAGTTTGTGCCTTGGTTCTTACATGCACCTGCATGGGATGAGAGGAGGGACAGCATAGTAAGAGCTCCCAGTACCTTTTCTTCTTAGTAGGCACGTCCTTGATTTACTTCGTTTATTTTAACAGTAGAAAAATCTTGGTTTTTCTAGTTGTTTGGGACTTGGTATGCCTTGTGCCTCTTCCAGAATTTGGGCTCTGTAACTCCACCTTCCCTGTTAGGAAGGATGGAGAGTGTCTGATGGTACATGAGGGAAAGGCACACATAGAGCCCGAGTCAGAGTAACGTGGATGGGATGGCGTCGAGTAACTGGAGTGAAATAGAGGGGAAGGAAGGCCTTGAACCAAGAGTTCTTACTCTGTGTAATTTAGGAATACAATATAAATGTGTCCATGGACCAAGCAATTCGTGTTAGCAGTGTTAAAGGAGTTCAGTGCTGCTTTTGGAATAGAGAGAATCAAAAAGGTAGGGTTTGATTCATCTGTTGCTTGTACAAGATGACAATGTTGCCTGGATTCAATTTAACTGTAAAACCCATCTTAGGTGCAGAGTGCTAACAAAGGACCCATTGTCCACGTGCCGTGATGCTGTGCCGCGTCCAGCAGTTGGTGCAATGTGAAGGAAATGAAAGCTTCTAGTTTTGCTTTATTCAGATGACTGTTCTCTTGCTACAGAAACGGAAACGTTACTTCCTGGAAAACCTGATCCTCTCTAACGCTTTTTTTTTTTTTTTTTTTAAAATAAGCCTAAAAAACCCTAAAATAACCTCTTTTTTAGTAAAATTGGAGGCGCCCCTTTCTTCCCCATCACCGTTTTATGAATTTCCACCCTCTCTGTAAAAGAAAACCCATGGCCAAAGGTGACTGGGTGGCTTGCGTGGCGGCTTGTTTCCCCGTAGGCTTCTGAATGGTCGGATTGCTGTGATGCAGTATGTGCTTTGTAATGCAACTATTCTGATGGTTCGCTTCACAGCTGAGGCGAGCCACCATTTCAAACCCCATAACAGGAGCCTTGGAGACGGCACATTACAGAATTAGCAAAAGGTAAGAGAGCTCTATGCCAGATGTTTTGGGCCTGTAATGAGTGTGTAGATTCTGCTCATTATGGGGAAAAAAAAAAAAGAAAAAAAAAGAGGTGGTCTAAAAAAGACAAGTTTGGCTTTTGCAGTCCACCGCTTTATTACGTGCAGATCTGTAACAGGCTGTTACTGCTGAGTTTCTCAGTCTTTTCCTTCAGCTAGAAGTTCTGGGGGCATGTTTTGATTTCTTCCTTTGCTTTTTTCTTTTGGTCACCTTCTCAGCTCAGTGTGTGTTCTCCAATGATGATCTGTACAAAAGCTGGTCTCTACAATCAGTGTAAAAAAAATAAAATAAAAATACATGATGCTACACAACTTTCAGTAGAATCTAGATTGATGGGGTTTTAAAATATTCCCTTCCCCTTGCTCTTCTCACCAACCAAAAAAGGTCCTCCCTTTCTTTCTAAAATCCAGCAAGCTCCTTGAAGTATTTTGACATGTAAGAGATGCTTCATGTCCTCGCTGTGGGTGACAGCTGGAGTGGCAAAACACCTTCATCACACAGCATTTCATTGTCCCATGTAATCCCATACTCCTGGCTGGGCGCTTTTACCTCCTGCTGACACCAATGTAAGCTCCTTTTCACTGGGTTCCTGGTTCTTTGCAGCTCCTCTGTTAAATGCTACAAGTCTTGAATTTAGCCAATGTTCTCCAAAATTGGCTGGCTCTAAAAGGAACCACCTGCCCCCTTGCCCGTCACCACCCCCTCCCCTACTTTTAGTAGTGGTGATTAAAGATTGGCCACACGTTCCATCAGTGTTAATCCAAAATTGTGAAAGGAGTTAAACTTCTGGATGAAGAGGAACTGTCTGTGAAACTCAGCATCATAAATTATTTACAGAAAGTGTCTAGTTTAAAACAAAAAACAAAAAGAAGGAAAAAAAAAAAGGAGGAAAAAAGTGAAAGGACAATCTAACCAAATTTTTCCAACCAATTTATTTTGATTTGGACATGGCAGCTATAGCTTCTGTTGCCCTTCTAATATTGCTAATTTAAGAGCATTGCATACCATCCAGACCAATCGGAACCCTTTTCAAACACCTGTGGCTTGGCGAAAAAGCAGCCTACTAGGTGGGTAAGCCCTTGTCCTTTCTCTTTTTGTAGCTGAGCCGTGCTACTGTTCATGACCCTGAGACTGGGAAACTGACCACAGCACATTACAGAGTCTCTAAGAGGTAAGGGGAATGTCTTCCAAAGATATTACAAAGTCCGAGGAAGTCTGTTCTGGGACCTTACTGCTTCATCTCTAAACCTGGGGGCAAATAAGGATTTTTTGCATAACTTTTCTATTCTTAGAAGAAAGAGAATGGCCTAAAGCAAACTTGAGCTGTCGTATAACAAAGCAAGCGGTGTGCGGAAATAGGAAATAGTTGTAAATGTTAGTGGTAGCCAAGATGGAAGCTCCCTCTTTGCTTGGCATGGCTTGGCTACTGCGACTGACCTACTAAAATGTTCTCACAGCGTGGGGGGCTGCACACACTAACACACAGAGGGAAAAACTGCTGCTAAACTCAGGTGGGGACTTGCTGCTCTAAACTAGACGCCGCTGTAATTCATAGGAATTAGCACAAATTAAAGCTGGTTGATCATTTTAAAGAATATCCTTGTTTGAGTGGTTGAAAGTAGTTGCTGCTTTAATAGAAAACTAGTGTTCTTCCTGCTGCTTTGAAAAAAAAGCCCTGAAATTAGAACGGCTAGTAGCATAAGGGGGTTTATTTAGCTATGAATTTCTTTAAAAATACAAAAGTGCTTCAAAATACCGGATCACGAGAAGTCAATTGATTTGGGAATTCCTAGAACTCTGATGGAAATTGGAAGACCGTTGTAGCTGAAGTCTGATCCTTAAAGCCACGCTTGTTACAAGTAATGGCAAGGTGAAAACTTACTTTTATCCTTTGAAAACTGCCTTGAACCTTCAGCAGCACAAGAGCCTACTTACTCATCGGGGCACGTGCAGGCAGCGGGAGTCCTTTGGAAATTGTCTGGTGAGCTCTTACAGGTTTGCTCCCTAAATTTACCTCCACAGGCCCCTGTCAGAATGACCATAGGAAGGTATCTTTTCTGTTTGACGTGTGCTGCATTTAGATAGGAAGGTATCTTTTCTGTTTGACGTGTGGTGCTGCATTTAGTTTTATTTGTTTGTTTGTTTTTAATTTTAAAGTGTGTCCATGTCTTCTCTATCTTGGTTTTCTGTGACTGTGTATTTTAAAGGAAGCGTTTATTCAGTCTCAGGATTTGTCCTCTGTGACATAGACCCCTCTGGGGCATTTACTGAAGAAATGTCTTAATCCATTTGAACATACCCTCACAGTTTCTGTCAAACTTGATGTGTTAATAATAGGAATTGGAGAAGGTGACCAGATCACTAATTGAAATGGAGATGCATAATTGGCCTCTATTTATATAGATGATCCTTCCTAAAAGAACTCTTCATGTAGAGTTGTGATTTTTTCATTAGCAGGAGCAGTCAAAAAAAGTAGTACTAGATAACACCCGTTATTAAAAGTCCTTCCCAGTGTGTGCAGCTGATGGAGCAGCCAGGTCCCATTTGCAATCACCTTGTTAATGGCTTTGTGACACAGCAAAATAACTGTTTCCTCTGAGGCTATAAATTGGAATTATCCACGTGCTGTGCCTGGGGACTCTGGGTGAAGCATAAGGGCAGCTGCTGTCTGTGAAGCAGCTGGGAGTAGAGGCTGCTCTCCAGGACTCGGTGAGTGAGACCCCGAGATGTTTGAGGTTTGGTGCTCAGAAAGGTTGCACACCGGGGCTTCCTTCTAACATACCTAAGGAGCTCACAGAATTAAATATCTTACTGACCTAAAGTTATTTTTTAAATTCTATATCTCACTGGAAACTGGAATGAAACATCTTTCTGTTAGAGCTGTTTGAGCTGCTTCAGATTCCAGATGAATCATTGCTCCTGAAAACCAAAAAATGCTTGCTTTATTTTTTTAATAGACGACTGCTTTTCCCTTCGAACATTCTTTCCTAGCAAATGCACTTCTAAATTACAGCTTGCCTCTCTTTGAGAGGACTACTGTTGGCTGTGCAGTACGTGGCAGGCTGTATAAAAGGGGGCTCCTTGCCAGCAGTACGAGCAGCAGCACCAAGCTGTGCTGTGTGCGGTACCAGAATAAACTCAGCCACTCTCACACTGCTTTTAAAGAAACTGGGGGATTTTTTTTTCACCTCTCTCCTCCCAACAGCCAGTCGGAGCCTGTAGCATATGAGGTTAAAGTTTCCACTTCAGAAATACCAGTCTGTGCTTTTATTCATTCCTGGTTGTGTCTCTGCTAGTACTTTTTACCTTTTAGAAAGTTTTTAAACGTAAATGCCAGTAATTTGAGTGATGGGTGAGTGCTACAAAAGCAGTGTTGCAGCTCTGGTGTGGCTGAGCCTCAGGACAAAGCCTTTGTGTGTCTGGTACGAGACCAACTAGTGCAGTTGGGGGAGATGAAGCTTTTTGGGCACAGAAACCCCCTTGTATGTCACAGAGCTCTGGACAGTTGTTTGGTGGTGGTTTTTTTTTTTCCTAATACACTGCTGAGTCTAAAATTATTTCTGCATTTAAGTATTGTGCTATTAAATAATCTCTGATATGATACCTGATGCAGAATCGTAAGAGGGAGGAGCAATGTAATGAATACAGTAGTTGTTAAAAGATCTTGGTGTGAGGAAGGAAAAAAGCAACCCCCCAGCATGAATTCAGCACGCTAATGAAATTCTTTCAATTTCTAGAGCATATTAGCTTAATTCATGGGTTTCTTTTTCCAAAGCCAAGTGGGACACCAAAATGCCGTGCCCTATTTCAGTCAGGGAATTTGGGGTTTTGGTGTGGTAGTTACTAAGGAAATATCAAATCCTCCTGTAAATAAATTGACCCACATCTTTAACTGCCACGCTTCTGACTTCCCAGAAATAAGTGTGTCCTTTCTTGTTTGGAAGTTTTCTGCCTGTGACAGACCCATAGGTGTCAGCTGGTCAAAAATACGACCAAACGCTGTTCAGGCAAGTTAACTTGTCAGATGAACAACTTAATTTAACAAATGTACATTGAAGAATAGAGCTGTGTACATCTACTGAATCGTGCTGAACCTTGGACTATGCGTATATTAAAAGTCTGAGCTCAACATAAGGCTGCTAATTCTGCATCACACACACCACTGGCAAGGGAATATTTTGTGTGTGTGTGATAGACAAGAGCAGGGGAAAAAAGATGACTTTGTGTGCAGGAAAACCAGCTATAAATGGTTTTGAACTAGGCACACGTTTACTTTGATGGCATCAAAGGAGCAGGGCTGAGAGTGGCAATGAAGGAGGCCCACGTAGGACAGATGGCTATATTCTGTGATGGCCACCAGACAGAGCCTGCAGCAGCAGAAGCTCTCCCTCTGCATCCTAAATGCCCAGAGACAGAGACCTGCTGATGCTGGGCAGGGTTCTGCGGGCCCTCCTGAGCTTTGTGCCCTCCTGGAAGCAGATCTGGTGATGCTGACAGGGTTAAACCACGCTGTGGCTCCTCACATGAAACTGTGGAGCGCTAGATGCTTTGCTCAGCAGCCAGCAGACAGGCTGGCACTGGCAGTGTGGTTTCAGGTCCCCGTTTCCTCCACCTTTCATAGACTTTCTTTGTGTCCTTAGGCAATTAATTTTATTTCTAAAATATATATAGTACTTTCCCTCCATGAAAGGATGTAGTATTCTCCCTGTTGAAGGCATTCATTGCAGTTCTAAATAACCAATATAGGAAGAATGCTTTTTTCCCCCCCTAAAAGCCTTTATGGATAGACTGGACAGAGGTAACCCTCCATGAAAGGATGTAGTATTCTCCCTGTTGAAGGCATTCATTGCAGTTCTAAATAACCAATATAGGAAGAATGCTTTTTTTCCCCCTAAAAGCCTTTATGGGTAGACTGGACAGAGTTGCTAGAGCTTGCACTTTGAGCTGATGGCTCTGCTGGGGCTTTTCTTGTGTATTAAGTGTGAGGGTAGGATTGCTTGTGACTGTTGTTTGTTCAACATGGCTGCGGAGCATGTGGCTGCATAACTGCTTTATTTTCTTTTTTTGGGGGGGGAAATTCTTCATATAAGTAGTCTGCATTCTCCTACTGCCTGAAATCAAAGAAGGTTGCATTGTAACACTTCTTTATACTAACAGTGTTCAGATGTGGGTGAATCTTTGTATGTGTTTGTGCAAGTCTGTCTGGAGAAAGCTTATTTCTTTTATCTATAGTTCACTCGTCATTTACAAACAAATGCTCATAGAGATTCTGTAACCTGTGTCAGTGCCTCGTGTCACCTGCTTTATTTTCTTTTTTTGGGGGGGGAAATTCTTCATATAAGTAGTCTGCATTCTCCTACTGCCTGAAATCAAAGAAGGTTGCATTGTAACACTTCTTTATACTAACAGTGTTCAGATGTGGGTGAATCTTTGTATGTGTTTGTGCAAGTCTGTCTGGAGAAAGCTTATTTCTTTTATCTATAGTTCACTCATCATTTACAAACAAATGCTCATAGAGATTCTGTAACCTGTGTCAGTGCCTTATGTCACGTGTCATGCTACTGTTCCTCCCATGCAAAGTGTTTTGGTGTTTTTTTCTAAATACATTTTTTTTTTTAAATTAAAGAAAACAACCTTCATTTAGTGTAAGTGTGAAAGTTCATTTGAGTAGCAATGCTAAGATGTACTGGCCAGCCAGGCTCTGGGCACAGGTATTTCTGTCCAACACCCTTGTAAAAGCAGCAGGAACCACCGATGAGCCCAAAAGGCTGAGCCAGATGCTAGAAAAAAAGGTAGAACCAGCTGTCTTCATTTTCCTGCAAAATAAGGAGAAACATGGGGCCCAAATCATCAATATTATCCTCTATATTAGTGACTAGCAGGGGGCTGTGAGGGTAACTAGAGAAGAGGACTGGGGGGGCAGTGAGAGGGAAAAGAGGAGCAGTCAAATGAAGGGCATTGGCTGGAAAGGGATGAGAAAGCAACGAGAGAAAAAAGCATCATGTGAGCAGATGAGTGGTTTAAAACAGAAAAAAAGAAAACAGATGAAATTAATATTTTTATATTAATGGGGTATGGAAGCAGCCAGCAGCTTTCAAGAATGAGCAACCACTTAGAGTAGAAAATGCTCCACTGGGTGCGGATGAAGGCAGCGATTCGTGTGTATCTCTACCTCTTCATACCTTTCTCTGCTAATTAGTTTGCCAGTTAGTTTAAATGTGGTATTTTTAACTGAAAAGTTCTAATTTGCAGTAGTAGGCAGACATTTTGCAGATGCCTTTGGAACTGTGAGGCTGACCTTCCACATCTGTATTTTAAAAATTTGCTTTAAAAAATATGATTGGGTTGTTTTGGTTGTTTTTTTTTCCCCCTTAAAAAATCAATGTGTTCCTGAAATATGTGCTAAATACCGAATTCTTAATAGGCCATTCTGGTCGGAACAGTTGAACAGGGAAAATGGTAAAGAGTTGTATGCAATATTTAATTGTTTTCATAATGATTTTTAGTCCCACAGCACAGGTAAGTAACGTGAAAGGACAGATCACAGAGCGCTCGCCTGTAAGTACCTGGCGGGGAGGAGCTGAGTTACAATCACACAGACTCTGTGTATGTTAAATAAAGTAACTCACCTGTTCCTCTCCTGAGTGCTGCTTCAAAACGCATCAAATGTGGAGTCTCAGGTAGCTGTTTGGAATGGGTAAGAGCAAAACTGGGTTTGTGCCTGTTTTAAAAAACAGCTTGAAGCAGATTTCACTGTTTGGAAGGTTTTCTTCAGTCACTTGGTAGTCTAGTAGGGGAATGAAGGCCCTTAGCTTTAGAGCTTCCTTCAACGAGTGTTGGAAGTGTTCTTTCTACAAAATATGTTTATTAAATGCAGGCTTTCATAATGCCCTGGAAACATTCCTGATCATCCTACCAAATTTTTGAAAAGTATGAAAAAAATCTCAAAGTAATTGCAAATGTTGCATTTGTACTGCTTACTGCCTGTTACTGCCATATTTTATTAATTATCTTCCCCCCCCACGTAGCGCGTGGTTGTCTGGATACGAAAGCCCCGTGGTGTCTCGCATTAACACGAGGATACAGGACCTGACAGGACTTGATGTCTCCACAGCAGAGGAGCTGCAGGTAAACTCTTAGCACAAGGCTGATGCTGAGTGTCTGTTGGCATTTCGTGGTGGGTGGCTTTGTGTGCAGCACCCTGCTCACTCAGGTGAGGAGCCACAAGAGCTGGTTCAGCCCAGGGACAGCTAATTTGATGGCTGATTTGATTCCAGCCCAGGGGAAGAATAAGTGGGGTTTTTTCTACAGGAAGGAAAGGACACGGTTGTCTTTGCAGAGTAGCACTTAATTCAGTGTGAAATGGCTTTCTGTTGCCGGAGAGAAACAGCAATAACTGAAACTCTTCATGTTTGTTGAAGTGGATGTAGAATTCCTTTTTGTTTATACTCATAAAACTGAGTTTCATTGCTGCAGAGTCAGATTTTGCCGCTGTGGCGATAATAAGAAGTTTAGCTTGACTGATACCTGGGCAAAGGGTGAGAGAATGGGTGTTCAAAAAGTAGATTTTCCATCCCATCCTTGGTCCTAGGAGGCCAACAGTGTGTCTGGTGTCTCTGTAACGTGGGAGAGACTGACTGTACACATAACTTGAGTAAATTTTATTTTTGAAGTGCTTACTTCTATTTATTTGCTTGAGGCTTTTAAATGAACAGTTGCTTCACTGATTCTGAGACAGCATTATTAATACATAGAAAGTGGTTCCTGAAAGCTGTTGTGCCACTGTGCTACTCCATCAAGACTCCTGATTATAAAACGCCCAAGCATCTGGTTGAAAATTGAGAGATTTTCACACAGAAGAGATAAACAATAATAATAAAAAAATCAATCAGGAGAAAGGACAGTAAATCCTCTTTATTGACACAGAGATCAAAAAGGGATTTAAGCTTGAATGATGTGAAAGCACCATGACCTATTTTGAAGAGAATATAACCTGTAAAGATTATGTAGAAGAAAAATCGTTTTCCACCCTGGGGAAGTACTGGATTCCTTACCTGGAGTAACTGCATCTTGCAGTGCCTGTCTTGGATGTGCTGCTGCTCCTTGTAGCTCCTTGAGGCCTGTGGCTGTCCAGGAGGACCTGTTTCAAAAGTGTCATGGTTGGGTTCTACGATGGGAGAGTCATTAGATCAGACAGTAGCAGCCTCTCAGGAATGGGAGAATGTCTTTACCCCTTCAGCTGGGGGTGGACAGAAGAGCTTTCAAGGAAAGCAGACCCTGGGGAAGGGAGGCCTTGGTTGTGCCTTCCAGTCGAACTGCAAAGGCAGACTGAAGGGCTGAGGTCCTGAAGCCTGGAGTCAGGTTCTGGCTCTGTGCTGATGGGGAGTCTGGGTGAAGGCAGCTCCCTGTGAATAAATCCAGAGAGCTTTGCTGCATACGTACAGCTTACCGGGCAGAGACTTGCAGTCTCCTGTGGCTTGATTATAAAACTTCATCTGTCAAAAGGCTGTAGATGAGAGTCGTATTCTTGTCTGGATAAAATACTGCTTTACTAGATACTGTGCTTCTCCTTTCACTGTAGGTAGCCAACTACGGAGTAGGAGGCCAGTATGAGCCTCATTTTGATTTTGGAAGGGTAAGTCCTGTTTTCCGTCTCCACCTCTTTCTTCTTCACAAGCGCTGTGTTTCTCTTTTTCAGGTGGCAAATTATGGAGTGGGAGGACAGTATGAACCCCACTTTGACTTTGCACGGGCAAGTAAAGAGATGGAGGAGAGATAGTCACCTGGTGAAGCCTGGGCCTCTTGGCTGTAGCACAATTTTTATTATTTAATGTGTCTTAAATTTTGTAGCTCTTCAACTTTTCTAATCCGTGTTAGTGGAGAAAGCCCTTTAAACCACCAGCTGAACTGATAAACATTTTAGGCATTACAGAGCAACGAGGTTTTTCTTCAAAAATAGATTTAAAAAAGAATTATTCTAAGGAGATGACTGATAGTTCTTAACAGAGCAAAGGGTTTCATTGCCATTCTGAGGAAACAGAATTCTAGTTGGCCAAGGTACGGGCCACATAAAGCTGACATCACAGCTTACCGTGTTGGCCTGTGACACGGAGAGAGAAGATCCTTCCCCAGATCCAAGACGCAGGCATCGTGTGTGCTGTTGAAGAAATTTTGCAAACAGCAGTGCTCTGTTATTGTAGTTTACGTGCTGATGGCTAGCAGACTCCTGAAACTCGAAAAAGTCTCCCAAGGTCCTCTCATCTCACCATCCTTAATTTTTTTAACTTGCTTGAAATTCCCAATGTGTTTCTATTCCAGCTTAAATTGCAGACCGCTGGAAAATAATGCCACTGGATTCAGTTGGTTATTTATTGGGCATACTTACGTGTGATTTAACACCTTCAGATTAACCTTACGCTGTGAATCCAAGCCACCAACTATTAATCAGAATCTCTGCTCTGTAAGCACATGCTCAAAAGCATTGCAAATGATTAACAGGTTTTGTTTGGATAATGCATGGGTTAATCTCTGGAGTTGATGATTGCCAGAACAGGGGTCACACGGGGTGGGTTCTAGAAGTAAGACTAGAGGTGTGTGACCAATGTTGGTGTCCTAACTCATCAAAATGGGGTTTTGTTCTAAGTGATAAAACCCTCTTAGTTAGTGAATGGCTCCCTGGGCTAGTCCATGAGCCCGTTACCAGCTCCTGCTCTGCCCAGGCCCTCTGGGCTTCTTCCCTCCTTCCCAGCTGCAATGAAAGAGCCATGGCAAGGAGCTGGAGCGTGAGGAAGAGGAGTCCTCCCCTTCCTCCCCAGTGCTGGGCTGGGGGTGTCACAGCCACACGGCGGGGACGTGCCTCGCTTCTGCTGGAAGCGTTGGGAATGGCTGCCACAGCTGCCTGCAGCTGGATCCCACTGCCAAATTAATCACTCCTTGGCTCCTCAGTGGCACTCCCAGATGCTGTGTGCCAGCGAGGAGTGCAGAGGGAGGAAGGCCAGCTTGGTCGTGCAGCAGCTTGCCCCGCACGGCAAGCTGTGGCTGTAAAAGCTGGAGCAGGAGAGGGGGTGAGGGCCAAAAAGAGGAGCCACCCCAAGGAAGCAGGGCTGGCAGTGCCCTCAGGGCACGCTCAGAGCCACCCCTGCCACAGTGTGGTTCTTGGTGACACCAGGACTAAAGAGCTGCCCTTGCTGTAGCTCATCTTGGCCAAGGACAAGAGGAGATGATAAGCGAGTGTAATTAAATAATTAAGTTTGTGGCTGTGAAGAGGATTTGTATACTCATTTTCAGACAGTACAGTTGTTCTGGCCCATTAGGAACTTGGGCTTATGCCTTCCCTGTTCTACAGAATTTTAAGATGCCTGATTTATTTAAATGAATAGATACACACATCCTGCATCCTCCCCTCCTTCCAAATAGAGGGATTGAATTAATTTTTCTGCATGAGTTTGTCTGCTGCTGGCTCTGCAGCTGTATCTCATTGGCTTCTCTCAATAATCAAAATGAAATGCTTACTAAATCTGCTTGTTTTTATTCACAGAAAGATGAGCCAGATGCTTTTAAGGAATTGGGAACAGGCAACAGAATTGCTACTTGGTTGTTTTATGTAAGTGATATATTTCTGTCATGTGCTAGTGCCAAAAATATCTATCACTGCATATTCTATACCGTTGAATGATTCCATTATGGTTTTTTACTGACGAGACTTGCAAATGAAGGCAGCCACCAACCTAGCAGTGATACATGGGGGTATTCTATACCGTTGAATGATTCCATTATGGGTTTTTACTGACGAGACTTGCAAAGGAAGGCAGCCACCAACCTAGCAGTAATACATGGGATATCTTCTTACCCATAACTAATGGCTCTTCCATAGGTTCTTAGGGAGGGTTTTTTCCTCAAAGGTGAGCATCAGCTTAAATTATCTGACTGTCCATGTCTATATCTGCATCACTATGTACAGTGTGCTCACTGCCTAAACCTGTACCCATAACTAATGGCTCTTCCATAGGTTCTTAGGGAGGGTTTTTTCCTCAAAGGTGAGCATCAGCTTAAATTATCTGACTGTCCATGTCTATATCTGCATCACTATGTACAGTGTGCTCACTGCCTAAACCTGTGGGTGTGTAACACTCAGGGACAAGGCTGCCTGGTGCATTTTGAACAAAAGGGGTGGGTTTCACCCTTATTGAAGGCCGTTAATCATGCAGCCCTTTCTCACTAATTGGGAGGTAGAAATGAAGTTGTTCAATAACCTTATTTTATTTTGCTAAAAACGTGGCAGTGGGAAGGTACTGGCTTTGAACTTCTCTGTGCCTTTCCCCCGTTTCAGATGAGCGATGTGTCAGCAGGGGGCGCTACTGTCTTTCCTGAAGTAGGAGCTAGTGTTTGGCCTAAAAAGGTAAGCAGGGCTTTTATCCCACTGACTCAAAAACATAACACACCTATAAATGCTTAAAAAGAAGCTTTAAAATGAATTTATATCAAGAAGAATAGAGCACAGAGGTACTTACAATTAAGTGAAGCGACCAGATCAGTACTGGTGATCCCAAGGGCCTCTGATGTCCCGCGTGTTAAAGTGTAGGTACATTTTGGAGTTAACTGCTTCTAACACATAGACTTTGGAAAACAGTACAATACTTACAACACATTGTGAAAATGCTTAAATCTGTGAGCGGGTTTAGTCTTGAGGTGTCTATAGGGAATTTTCCCTGAAATCGTGTGTTCCTGTTAAGTTTTTTTTTTCCTCAGAAAGATTACAAATCTTTGCTTTATTTTTAGTAAATTATCTTGCTGTCTAAAACTGGTCAGAGTTGAATGAAACTGGCTTCGGGCTTAAAAAAAAAAAACTATTACAAATCTTTGCTTTGTTTAGTAAATTATCTTGCTGTCTAAAACTGGTCAGAGTTGAATGAAACTGGCTTCAGGCTTAAGAAAAAAATAACAGCCAAACATCCATAGACACAGAATGAGTCAAAGGAGACTCACTCCTTAAGAAAGTGAATGTTAGAATATGAAAAAGATCCCTTAATTTAAAAGGAATGTCTGAAATACAAATACACATACCTTTCCCTTATCATTAAGTTATTTGGTGTGAGAGCATGTTTTGCACAGAGCACAATGCTGAGGGTTTCCACTGCCATTTCCAGGGAACAGCTGTGTTCTGGTACAACCTCTTCCCCAGTGGAGAAGGCGATTACAGCACGCGGCACGCGGCCTGCCCAGTACTAGTGGGAAACAAATGGGGTAAGTGCCCTCACGTTGCTCTCACTGCCTGGGGGGTTGTCTTGGCTTTCCTTTGCCTCTGGCCCTCACAGTGGGAGAAGCAGCAGCCAGAAATAAGGTCCCTTATAAAGAAATCTACTTCATATCTACATCTGCTCCATATCTCTCTATATATCACCTTTGCCTCTGGCCCTCACAGTGGGAGAAGAAGCAGCCAGAAATAAGGTCCTTTATAAAGAAGTCTACCTCATATCTACATCTGCTTCATATCTCTCTCTATATCAGAGGTCGGTCTCTTCTCCCAAGGTCCAGGTGATGGGACAAGAGGAAATGGCCTCAAGTTGCTCCAGGGGAGGTTCAGATTGGAGAGTAGGAAACATGTTGACAGGGAAAGGGTTCTGAAGCCTTGGAATGGGCTGCCCAGGGAAAGGGTTGAGGCCCCATCCCTGGAGGGATTGAAAAGCCGGGTTGACCTAGAGCTTAGAGACATGGTTTAGTGATGGTTTTTATCCGAGTGAGGTTGATGGTTGGACTAGATAATCTGAAAGGTCCCTTCCAACCTGGACAATTCTATTATTATATATAATAGTAATATAATAGCATATTTTATAATGTATCTAAAACTCATGTAATACTATATCTACTTGAATAATCTTTCATAGTATTGCAGCTATTGGGAGGGGTTTTTTCCTCCTTTTGGGTTTATTAGAGCAACTTCACATTTGTGTGTGTGTAGGAAAATACTTCAGAAATTTAAGATAATCCTGTGCTTAGCTTTCAGCTGACCAAGGGCCTGTACATAGCTTAAATATGAGCAGGAGCTAACGAGGTGCAGTGACCAGCTACCTTTCTGTCTTTGCAGTATCCAATAAATGGCTCCACGAGCGGGGACAGGAATTCCGAAGGCCGTGCACTTTATCAGAGTTGGAATGATGCAGACGACTCCTTTGTCTCTCTGTATTCAGTTTGTGTAAAATGCACACATCTCCTACAGTTTACAATTGACTAACACTCCACTACAGGTTCAGTCTTCAACTACACCGGTGTTTCATCTGTGGACAAAACAAACATGCTTTTAGTTCCCTCTAAAATATCCCCTTACGGTTTTATGAACAGAATATATTGATTTTTAAGGTGTTACAGGAAAAAAAAAAAAAAAAGGACAACATACAAATCAGGGCCACAACGATGATTGTGTGTGGTGTTCCCTTCACCGTCGCCCCTTGGATCAGCACGGACAGCCAGGGATTGTTCTCCTCACAACTGTTGGTCTGCAAAGGGCGGGATGATTTAATGGGAGGGCTCCCTTCTAAGGAAGGCTGAATTAAACCAGTTCATCCTCAATTTCCAGACATTCGACTCCTTGCTTTTCTAGAGTGCCTGACCACTACTGTTGAGAGCTGTGGGCATGGTTGGTGTTTCTCTGGGGAACAGGTTATCATCAGGTTTTAGCCTGTTTTTTTCCACTTCCACAAAAGCCCCAATTTTTAAACTGTCTTCTTCTCGGCCTCTGTGGTGGATGTGGCTCTTTACCTTGCAAATGTGAGCCAGCAGTTCCATGGTCCTGGATGAACAGCTACCAGTTCTGTGTAGCTGAGATGCTTCAGCAGCATTGTGTCACACACCTGCCTGCATCAGAGCAGCCTGACAACAGTTGCAGCCTGGCTTCCCTCCTTTTTTTTTTTCTGTTTTCTCTTTAATGTTTGTCCACATAAACAAATGCTGCTTTTATTCCATCTTAGTAGTCAACTCTTACATCTGTTCCTTGGGCAGTGGGGATAGGAATGTTACCTCTTCATTAATCACAGTTCATTGTGCCTTAGGATGCTGGAATTTCAAATTGGTTATGAGACTTCAGGTGATGAGGTGACACATAGTCCTCACAGAACGCTCTCCACCATCATGGTCCCAGTTCTTAAGGCCTTGTGAGAAATGGATGGCCTGTTCATAATCCTAAATCTTCTTTGGATGCTTGTTATTTTGCAGTTATTTTTTCTGCCCTGGCTGCTGAATGCAGCCCGCAGCAGTGACGTGCCTTTAGTCCCAGAGTGACTGTGGGCAGGTGCCTGCTCTGGCTGGTTTGGTGTTGCTCACCTCACAGAGCTGCCTCCAGCTCTCTCTGGGCAGGTCCCAAGGCTCTGGTGCTGCTCTTCCCACCACCCAGGGCTGGAGCTGTTCTGATTTACACCACCCACACAATAAAAATTGTCCCCAAAGTCAGTGGTGCCCTCACTGGAAGAACTCACTCCCGGTGACCTTGGTTTGTGACGAGTCATCCTTACCCTGAGATGAAGTTGAATTCCCTGAGGGAGTTGAGGCTGTTGAAGTTTTGTTCTGCTCTTCAGATTCTTGTGAGAGGAATAATGGCCATCCCCCACCCCCCGTCCCCCTAAGCAGGGTGGGGAGAGGCTGCAGGGGGTTCGCTTCCCTACGGCGTCGCTCTTCAACAGCAGGATTTTTAACAAAATGTCTAAATATTCCACTAGCAGGAGGACAGGAATCAGTGAACTGCACTAGACTCTACCTGAACAGTCTGATGATGTAGGGGGTCAAGCCTGAAATCTTTACCAAGGCAAAAATTCCAATATTTCAGTTAATTGGATTTCCTGCCTCTCTAAAATCTTGAAAATTGAGCCAAGAGGCAGATGAGACCAACTGTTTACACGTTAGAAATACCTCTTGATTACTAAGAATGCGGTTTAAGGTACTATAGTTTGAAAAACTGCATACTTTCAGAAGACACTTTAAAATCTTTGCTGGAAAATGCTTTGTTAAATTTCCCCTGAGCCTGTTAGTGATGGGACACACAGAACTACTTATCCTTAGCCCTGCACCTCCTTGCATTCTGCCTGTGCTTTTGGCAGATGTGAAACAAATTCCATCCAACACGTAAGAAAACAAATAAAAAGAAAAATCAGAAATAGTGCCACCTCATGTCTGTACTGCTCATGTGTTCAAAATGGCCAGTACAGTAGAGCACTGTACTGCTCATGTGTTCAAAATGGCCAGTAGAGCAGTATCTGACATAAGCCATTTCTTTGGTGAATCTATTTATCAGAGCATATTTTTGATCACTAAATTGTAATCATTAAACAAAAAAAGACCCATAACATTTCTACTAACCTGCATTTTTCTCCCTTTTACACAATGTCAGATGTTCATCTCCATTCTACCCGTAGTTTTCTCTTTCCCCTTCTTTTTGACTTTCTTAAGCTCCAAAAAAAAAAGGTAACCATGGCTGCAGGTACGTCCTGCCACTTTCCTGCAAGTAAAAGAATAGAGTGAACAGTGAGGTGGTACAAGTCTCACCTGGGGGTATTAATTTTCTTTCAGTAGCTCTGAGGCATCTATAAAGGCTTTTAGAAAAGCCAGTCCCACATAGTTCACAAGCACAAAATGAAAACAATGTATTGCCACCATGAACATATAGAAAATGGCTATTGTAGGAAAGCTGGGTTTTTTTCCACAGTGAGCAGAGGAGTTACCTGACACATTAAAATAATTAAAAGCTAAAAATTGTAGAGTTTATGTAAGGTGAAAGAGAAATACTGAATAAAGTGTCAACGACTGCTTCAGGTGCTGCTGTAGTGGAAGAAAACACCATGGTCTCTTACATGCTGAAGAGAAGAAGGTTTGAAGCAATGAGAAATCACAGCTGTGTTATATTTACCAGTGGGGTTTTTCCCCATCCTTGTTTGACCAACACCAAAAGGTGAAGGAGAAGCTTGAAAGAAGTTGTGGGATGTCAGGGGAAGTTTGCTGAACAGTTACCTCCCTCACCTCCCATCAGCTACTCCAGTGTTCAGTAGCCTTCTAAGAACAGTCTCAGAGAGGTGTTGCTTGGGGAGTAAAAGTATTCCAGTGCGTGACTTTTTAAAGCGGTGAGCTACTCAATGACTCGCAGTTCTTCTGGCAAGAAAAGGAGTTTCTCTTTTGACAGTGGAAAATTTAACTTTGTTTAAATAAAATAAAAAAAAAAAATCCCTCAAAACTCCACCTCAGGTCTGCTGAGGCACATCAGACCAAATCACTAGAAGACAAAGGGTAAGCTGATTATTTTTTTTTTTAAACTGCAGACAATCCCTAGTTCCTCTTTCTCCACCGCAGGAGTGTCCGTGCCCCGAACACTAACCCTGTCAGGGATTACAGCAGGTGGGGGTGCTGCTTGTTTTTGCCTTGCCCCTTCATTTCTCAAAGGGCTTTTGGGATCAAGAGCGTGGCTCCTCTGTGAATCTGGTTTTGTATTAAAAGATGATCGAAAACTGTTTGGCTCACGGTGACTGACAAGTGAGAAACTGCCTTACTGTTTAATTTTTTTTGTAATAAAATTTCTAATGTTTAAAAAAAAAAAAGAAAAAAAGAGCTTAAAATAAAATCCACTGCCATTAGCAGTGAAAAATCCTCCACCTCAAACTCTCCTCGTATATGGCTGTTGTAAATTCGATCGCACAGATTTTTATCACCATATGTGCTTCCTGGAAACAGCTCATTTGTTTCACTTCATCATCTGTGCGGGCAGGTGCAGAAGATGCTCATACCCACAAATTTCTGTTAAATAGGTTCTCAGACCCAAACTTTGTGTCTCGGTCAGGAACACACAGCAACTAATGGACAGCAGGTAATGCTGGGCTGGAAGCGTGATGTATGGAAAAATTCCCAAAAAGGCACTGACCTGCTGGGAGGGAGGAGCCTGGCCCAGCCCCTTTGGCTCCTTCATGCATCGGTTGGTGGCAGAAGCTGGTATGGGGTTTAAGAGTGATGTGGGAACCGCACGAGCTCCTTTTGAAACTCAAACCAGGCGCAGCAAAGGGTCGGCTGCTGAGAGACCCTTTTCCAGGGATGACAAACACTTCAATTTCCTGAAGCCAAGAGGCCAAAACAACCAGTTATTCTGAATGGTTCTAGGGAGGGGAAGCAAGATGAGCCTATCCCGTGGCGCTGTCCCAGAGGGACAGAGGGACAGAGAGTGCACTTACATGGAGGAGAGTCAGGCTGATTTCTTCCATGACCAAGGCCTCTGCAGTTCATACCCCACAGCTGTTCCTGGGCCTTTCAGACCAGTGGAGCTTGTACTTAATTTGTGGCCACCCAGAACCTGCAAAACAGCATAGAAAAGGCTCGTGAGAAGCCTTGATCCGTTCGCCTGTGCACAGAGCCCTGCATTTGGCACCCACAGGGTAGGAAAACAGGCTAAAGAGTACCAGCACTTTTTTTTACTATTTTGGAACTGTGAATTGATGCCATCCCCAGCTGCCCCGGGCACGCTGCTGAACTGCTGCCCTGCCCCTCTCAGCAATGCCAGGAGAACACCAGCAGCTGGGTGGCACTCTCAGAGGACAGGGCTTGCTCCAAACCTCTGGGTTTTTTGAAGATGTTTGTGGGTTCCAGCCACCAGGCGGGGGAGGCTCCTGTGGTCAGCCTGGCCACAGGGCTGGCACAGGGGCTTCAGCAGAGAAGGGTGAGATGCAGCCCAGGGCTTTCCTCTCCGAGACAACGGAGGGGCTGCCCTGCCTTCTGCAAGTGGCCAGAGGCACCTGCCCAGGATTTGGGGAGAGCCTAGGAGGGCTGTGTCCCCTCCTGTGAAGGAAGGGGAGGACTGTGGTTTAACCTGGTTTGTGCACTTGTGGCTCCCCACCACCCTACCTGGGTATCTGGAGCTCTTCCAGCACAGCAGCACCTACACCACAACCACAGGGGCTCATGACCACGTGAGGAACCTCGCCCGGGTACCAGGAACCTCAGCAGGGAAGGGTCAGGGAGAGGGAAAATGGCCTGGGAGTCACTGCAGGGTGGGGTGAGAAAGGAAAGGGAGTGACAGCATCAGCAGATGGATGGGGGAAGGCAGCACAAGGCTGACCTGAGCTGTCCAGGGACTTCTGGAGGGACTGGACCAGACCACAAACTCCAGCGTAGCACCCCCCCCAAGGGGAAAATGGCCTGGGAGTCACTGCAGGGCGGGGTGAGATGAAGGGAAAGGAAAGGGAGTGACAGCATCAGCAGATGGATGGGGGAAGGCAGCACAAGGCTGACCTGAGCTGTCCAGGGACTTCTGGAGGGACTGGACCAGACCACAAACTCCAGCGTAGCACCCCCCCCAAGGGAGAAGGTCTTTAACCACCCACCCATCCTCTTCCAGCTGCTGGACTCTGACCTGCCTCTGTGAGGGACTCAGTGTTTCATCATCCAGCTCCGTTTCTCCTTCCGATAATCAGTGACTCATCTGGCTCCCAAAGCCAGGCTTTTACCCAGGCACAGATCACCCACCACCCTTAACCACAAGCTGCCCGTGCCACTCTTGGGGCCCTGCTTCAACACCGACCAGCATCCCATCCAGCCAGACAACACTGATAGAGTTCAGTCCCTCCCTCTGCCCCCACAGCGCGAAGGGCAGGCTCCTGGCACAACACACGACCACACGGCTCTGCCCACAACGGGGTGCTCCGAAAAAGAAACGCACAAAAAAGAGTTGGACCAGCCCCTGCGCCTCCCTCCCAGCCACACGAGGGTCAGCGTTTGCTTTGGCAGGGCCAAAACCCCAGAGGGTTTCCAACTCCATCCAGGATGGGGTTCCCTGCCACCAGTGTGGGGTGACACGGGCACATCAGTTTGGGGGACGGGTGTCTGCCCCACACAGCCCCAGCCAGCTCTACCTCCTGTCTGACGGGAGCTCGCTGCCAACAGTCTGATAGTGTCATTAGGAGCGAGTGACTCACCACAGCCCGAGGGCTGCTCTATATTTAAGCATTACCCAGTCAGAAATGAATGCAGGGAGTCAGGAGCTGCTTATCCTGAGGTCAAGACGAGGTTCAGAAACCAACTGTCAGAGTTCACCATCGCGGCCAACAACATCTGTAATCTCTAAAATCTTTAGAGAGAGACAAGTTGGCATAGGGAGGGGGTGTTTGCAACCGCAGTGGGTCAAAGCAAGGTCAGACCAACCTGCAGGTACCCACCACGTGCATCCACGTTGGGAAGTCCTCCCTTCTGCAGCCCTTGAGACTGAGCAGCAATTCCCTGAGGTAACTCGGGGGGGGTGGAGGGGGGGGGAAGTGTTGTGTAGCCGTTGTTAGTTTTACTCAATCCTACATTTTTCCTCCCCTTTAGATCTTGACATTTGGGTGCAATGAACTATTTGCAGCTGGACTGAAAACGCCTGGGGAGACTGGTGTGGGGAGGGGTGGAAGGAAGCAGGAGGAAGGAGGGAGAGTGGCTCATCCCTGGGGCAGGGCAAAGGGGCTGCCACGTTTGGGGAAAGCTGTCGGGCTGCTTTTTTATTCACAAACTTTTGCTTTGGGACAACAAGTGACGAACCAGCAGGAAAGTTTCCCACTTCCTTTTTTTTAGCCAGGCTCTGCACTTTGCCAGCTGCTCCCCTCCTGCCCTGCTCAGCTTTCCTAACGAATTCCGATTGATTTTGCAAACAGCCCGGGCTCCGTGTTCCGGCCAAAGCCACCCCCTCCAGGCAGGGACAGCTCATGCAACACTCCCTGTGGGTTGCATCCCCTGCAAATGTCCCGCTGGCATTTTTTTTTCCTCTCTCTGTTGGGCAGCGCGTGGATCAGCCACCAGGGACTACGGGATGTACAAAGAAATGTTGTGTTCTGGCATTGCCTCCAGAGCAACCCGAAAAGGCTCCACATAAAAGCACAGCACCAAGCACAGCCACCCAGGGGCTCTACACAATGTTCTCAAGCTATTTCTGAAGAGCTGTTTTGCTCTTTTTTACCTTAATTTCTGCCAGGCTGTTCTGAGGGCGGGGAGCACTGGGAGTGCAAACTGGTGTGTCACACAGGGCGGTGGTTCAGCCACCAGAGACACCAACGGCTCCACTCGGTGCAAGACACAGCGTGGGGCTGTTGAACCCCGTTTTCCCTTCACTGGGTCTCCTTGACAACAAATTCCAGTGGCCCGTTTTCACCCACGACTGACAGACCAGTCCCCAGCATGGCCTGGACAACAGGACAGGCCCGAGCTCTCCAGTCCTGCTCTGCAAAGTGCTCTGCTGCAGAGTCTTCACCTCACAAGCGTCCCCATTGCTTCGTGCCAGTGATGACAACCCTGCTCAAGAAAAATTCCAAGGAACAGACCATCTAGTAGCAACCTGGCACCTCTAGCTTAACCCAAAACATCAACCTAATTTCTCCCCAGGCATTACAGTGCTCCACCTCCTTGTCTGCAGCTTGGATGCTGCCAACCTCCCTTCCCAATGCTCTCTGCCCCTCTCCTTGGGTTCACCTTCCGAAAGCCAAAGCTGGTTTGATGTTCCCTTAGGACTTCCTGCACACCTTACGTGTCCCCTCATTCAGTAACGGCCAAGTGAACTCCCATGGGCTGGGACAGTGGTGCCCAGCTCGGGCTATGGTTCAGGGAGGCACCATGCAGGTATCAAGCAGGGCTCTACAACTAAATCATCTCTTGACTGCTGATCTGAGGAAACCTCACACCCCCTTCTGAGGGCCACTCAGCATGAACACAGCCAGTGGCCTGCATCGCACTGCGATGCGACAAGAAGTCAGGAGCTGGGCTCCAGCTCCACACCATTTCACAGGAAAGAGAATAACCAGCTTGTTTGCTCCTCTTCCCCACGTCCCTGACTTACCTGTCTGAGAAACCACGATCTGGCTGCAGTCCTTGCTCCTTATCCCACGTCGGGAGCACGTACCGCGTGGCTGTACGCAGAAAGGTGCAGGCAGGCAGGTTCTGCAGGGCTCTGGCCCTCCAAAAGTAACAATGCAGTCACACTGGATCTCCTGCAAAACAATAAAATGCCAGAATTTGCTCTTGTTTGCCATATATTTGAAAGACCCACCGCCCAGCTCCCCTTCACCCTCTGGAGGGTCTCTGTTTGACAGCCTGGCCACTTCCACGCTCCAACAGGAGTGACTGCTGAAGTTGGCTGTTGGAGCCCACAGAGATCAGCCCATCTACCAGCGGAGCGGCTGTTTGTGAGCAGCAGTGCTGTGCTGGGACACAGCCAAAAAGCTTCCTGAGAGTGGCTGGAGCCTTCCCATGCTGTCTCCCTCCCTTATTCTTCATCAGTGGTTTGTGTCGTCTTTAGCTGTTGGTGCTCATTTGGTTGTTTTCCTTTAATCAGTAAGTTCTTTGAAGCCTCCACCAGTTGTGCAGCCCCCCAGGTCCTGGCAGGCCATCCCACCCCAGAGCCAGGACCTGCAGCTCCCCCCACAAACCCGACTTGGGTTTTGGTGCCAGCCCTTCCTTGTTGTGTGCTACGTGTTTAATTCAGCAACACTGGCTTTACACGAAAGCTGTAACCACCAGCCATCTAACATCAGCCTTCAGGAGTCCCATCAAAGGCACATACTCATCTACATCATTGATCCTATCACTGAAGGGGACACCCAAGGGGTTTCTAAACCCAAACATCAGCCTTCAGGAGTCCCATCAAAGGCAAATACTCATCTACGTCATTGATCCTATCACTGAAGAGGACACCCAAGGGGTTTCTAAACCCAAACTACTCCCAGCTGCTGGATCAACCCCTACAAGGCCCAACAGCACCCTGTAGTCAAAGCAGAGCAGGATGTGGCACAAAGCAGGACACGGACTCTGCCACCCTTCTCTGTCCTGGGTGTGCAGCCATGGGAAGCCACTTCACACGGCAAGTGTGTCAGCTCTGCTGGCCAAGAGGTTCTGCTAGGAGCAATTCCCCATTGCTCCTGATGAGACACCCACCTGGGTGGATGTCTCATCCCACCCCATTACATCCCCATTACATTAGGGACATGAAGATGATCAGAGGGGCTGGAGCACCTCCCCTATGAAGACAGGCTGAGAGAGCTGGGGTTGTTCAGCCTGGAGAAGAGAAGGCTCCAGGGAGACCTTAGAGCCCCTTCCAATATCTGAAGGGGCTACAGGAGAGATGGGGAGGGACTCTTTGTCAGGGAGTGTAGTGACAGGACAAGGGGCAATGGTTTTAAATTGGTAGAGGCGAGATTTAGATATTAGGAAGGAATTCTTTGCTGTGAGGGTGGTGAGACACTGGCCCAGGTTGCCCAGAGAAGCTGCGGCTGCCCCATCCCTAAAGGTCTTCAAGACCATGTTCAATGGGGCTCTGAGCAACCTGGTCTGGTAGGAGGTGTCCATGCCCAGGGCAGGGGGTGGAACTCGATGGTCCTAAGGTCTCTAGGTCCCTTCCAACTCTGACCATTCTATGGTTCTATGATCCCCAGGAAGCCAAGGAAAAGGGTGAGGGGTGCTCCTTAGTCTGCCACTGAACTATTACTCCCCAGCAGTGGAAGTTGTGGACAAGGAGACACTCTCCATCTCCCAGCAGGCAGGAGAAAGAGTGGGGCAGCCCATGTGGTGCCTCCATGGGGCTGGTGGAGGGTCTCCTGTGTGCCACACAGCCCGGGGCAGATGGATCCCCCTCGGCACCCTTCCAACTCTGACCATTCTATGGTTCTATGATCCCCAGGAAGCCAAGGAAAAGGGTGAGGGGTGCTCCTTAGTCTGCCACTGAACTATTACTCCCCAGCAGTGGAAGTTGTGGACAAGGAGACACTCTCCATCTCCCAGCAGGCAGGAGAAAGAGTGGGGCAGCCCATGTGGTGCCTCCATGGGGCTGGTGGAGGGTCTCCTGTGTGCCACACAGCCCGGGGCAGATGGATCCCCCTCGGCACCCTGCGGAGGGTCCCTTTTGGGGAAGCTGAAGCTGTGGCGTGGCGGGGGCCGAGCCCGTTCCAGCGGGATTGCGCAAACCCAAGCCCCGCTGTTTCTCTGCGAGAGGAACTCTGCCCAAATCTCCCCCGTGCACTTTGCCCTCTGATGGTGGTGACCTCATGCCGGCTTCCCTCTGCAGCAGTTTAAAGTCCAGGGGAGAGGGGTGCTCACCTGCCTCCTACGCACAGACAGCAGCTCGCTCCCACTCCTCCCTGCCTGGCCAGGGGCTCCGGGGCCTGGAGCTGGGACGGCAGCATGAGGCTGCTTTTCCAGGCACTGGTTCTGTGCCTCACCCTGGGCTTAGGACAATGCGCTGAGGAAACGAGGCAGGAGAACACCGCTCACCAAGGTGCCCAAGGAGAGTCCTTCTATGCGGACTGGGGCATCGGGACCATCCGGGACAGCTTCGAAACAGTTAACAGCTACTTTGACTCCTTCTTGGAACTGCTTGGGGGTAAAAATGGCGTTTGTCAGTACAGGTGTCGATACGGTAAGCGAACCTCACTCCTGCTGGCTCCTCTCTCTTTGCCCTTTCCTCTCCCTTCCCTCTCGTGTGGAGACTCGCAGCACTCTCCTTCCCCAAGACCACAACCAGCTCCTACCCATGACCCGTCCCCCTGCGCTGCTCGGCACAGAAAAATCACTGCAGAGAGTCAGAACGTCCCTGCTAGTGCCAGCACAGGGACACTGAACCCTCATCTTCCCCTCTCACCAAGAACAGCCTGTTCCTGAGCCACTGGGCTGTGTGCAAGGGACAAGAGGAGAGGACAGAGGTTTTACAGGAAGGGCACAGAGATAATCAGGCTGCCCGGCTGCGTGGACCCTCGGCACTGAAAAATCACTGCAGAGAGTCAGAACGTCCCTGCTAGTGCCAGCACAGGGACACTGAACCCTCATCTTCCCCTCTCACCAAGAACAGCCTGTTCCTGAGCCACTGGGCTGTGTGCAAGGGACAAGAGGAGAGGACAGAGGTTTTACAGGAAGGGCATGGAGATAACCAGCTGCGTGGATCCCTGGAGAGATAGACCATGGCTGGCAGCGAGGCCCTGGAGGGGAGGACGAGCAGCTCCTGCAGACCTGACTCAGAAGGGTTGGTAGTGTCACCAGCAGCCCTAATCTCAGCAACCTTGGAGTGTCATTATTCAGCAGTTGCGAGTTGGCTAATAATGTAGGCTGGAGGAGGGGAGATAACAGGGAGGTACATGAGAGCTGCTGTCACCACAGAGGAACCTTTAGTACCCAAGTCGGAACAAGGCAGCTGCTGCTCACCTTGGATTTTAGAGTGATTTACCAAAAATGAAGAGTCTGGCTTGTCCTGGGGACAGGAGGAAGGAGGTGGCAGCTCAGGGACAGCAGGGCAGGAGGAATAAAGGCAGGGCAGGGACTGGGCACATGGAGGTGCAGGTCTGTGGGGTGCTGGGCAGGGGGAGGCACAGGCAGCACCAGGCATCAGCAGGGTACTGATGCTGAAACAGCCTGTTTGGGAACAGCAAGGAGGTTTCCTACAGACTGTGTCCTCTCCCCAGCCTCCTACAACTGTCCTCACACCAATAACTGTCCTCTGTCACCTCAGCCTGCCCATCCACAACTGCCCACCAGCCCTTTTTCCCCAAGGTTCATCCCACATCCCTAGTGACTGCCCGGGCAAGATGCTCGGGAGCACAGAGGTGATTTCAACCCCTCTCCTTCCCTGAGCACTGTTTTCCACAGACACAGACTCCCTGCTTTGGAGAGATCCCACCGACCCAGTCTGTAGGCATCCCCTTTCTTCCAGAACACGGGATGTGCTCTTCAGCTGTGCAGGGTTGTCTGAAATGCCCACCCCAGGGATGGAGGTGGAGGGAAGCACCTCCCATCCCTCTCAGACCATCAGTGAGGGTGCCAGGAGAAAAAGATGCTGCAGGGCTGGGACCCAAGATCCCTGTCAGGGCAAGAGGGCAGATGGGCCACCCTTAGCCAAAGTGGGACCACAAGGAGAGTTTAAAATTGGCCTTAAAGTTGTTTGGGGGTTTTGTTTGCCATCAGTGAGGGTGCCAGGAGAAAAAGATGCTGCAGGGCTGGGACCCAAGATCCCTGTCAGGGCAAGAGGGCAGATGGGCCACCCTTAGCCAAAGTGGGACCACAAGGAGAGTTTAAAATTGGCCTTAAAGTTGTTTGGGGGTTTTGTTTGTTTTTTAAGTAATGTGTATATGTCTGTGCTCCTGCCAGCTCTGCTCCCCAGGCCCCATGCTAACAGCGAGCAGGAGGGGCAAACAAGGTACCTCAGCCCCACAAACCTGTGGGGAGCCAGGCATCTCAGCGCATCACCTCAGCCCCACAGTGGCCCTGGACCCTCAGGCTGGGGCCCCCCAGCACAGCCCACCCAGTGCTGCCTCTCTGCAGCAGCTCAGGAGAGCCACAACTGCCCCGTGGGGCCCGTTGGTGGCACCACAGGGGTGCAGTGTCTGGAGAAGGAGACCCCCATGCACACCATGGTGTCACCCCAGCACACAGGATGAGGCCATCTGCCCATCAGGCAGCCCGTCCCCAGGGCCACGCTGTGGTAGCCCCAAGCTGTGTGTGACAACCTGCCTTTAGGTCTGTACCATGCTCCAAATTTGGTGCAGAAAGGGACTTGTCCTCCTTAATGCAGGGATTGAAAACCCTCATTGTGGGGATAAATAAGGTGGCTGGTACTGCAGCGTGCCTAAGGCAAGGTTTGGGAAGGATGTTATTCAGAACTTGTTTCAGGAAGTCTCAGGACTCACCAAGTCTTGGAGAAGTCATTGCTCTTGGGCACATCCCGAAGCTGGGGCTGTCCCTGTACTCTTGGGCAGAGTGTCTCCACAGAGCACTGCAAATTCCTGCCTGGGAGCACCCTGCATCCTATTGGAGAGATGCTTCACCTAGAAAGGAAAACAAACATGCACATCATTAGCCCTGTTCTCCTCTGCTGAACAGCTCATTAATCATGGGCTGAAGGAGGAAACTATTGAAACGCTGCCCATGAGCCTCCAAGGGTCTTGCTGAACCCTCCCAGGACCATTTGTCTGTGCTTATCTCCAGCACAGACATTGCAAATTGCAAGTGGAGGGGATGCAGGGACTGTCCTAAACCAGTGAAACCAGGTGTCTCTGCCCAGAAGAATGAACACAAACCATCTTTACCATCTTGCTGCTGAATCAGGGCCTGACTGCTTTTTTTCCCAGGCATGAAGCAAATATTATACCTTCTATGTTCTTTCATTTTAGCCAAGAGACACCGATAATAGCCTATTTCGCCACAATAAAGGTCAGGACTCACCTGTGATTGCCACATCCATCTTCAGCTGAGCACGAAGTGCTTGCCTGTTCTGGCTGTAAGACTCTCCTCCTGATTTTTCAGCAGCTAGTGAGGTCTGAAAACAAACAACTTGATGGATTAGTCCCTTAAATTAGGACATTAGGGCTACACTAACATTTGCTGGTAAACATCTCCTCCTCCTTACAAAATCTCTCCGGGCATCTCACAGGGGTAAACGACCTGAACTGGGAGTAAATCCCTTGATAGCTTCCTTCAGCTGTCTGGCCAAGCAGGACATCAATGTTCTGCTCAGCATTTGTCCCGAGGGACCTAAAATGAGGAGGCACATCCAGGTTTGCACATCCTTCAAAGTCAGGCTCTCCAACACAGCGCTAAAAAGGCTGTGGTGAGTATGGGACACGTCTGCCCAAAGCCTGCTTGCCTGGGGCAGAGAAATAATGATAGACCACTCAAAACAGCAGGAGCCCCAAGACCATCTATTCACCCAGAAATACTTTCATTTCCCCCTGCTGAGCGTACCAGCACTGCGGTGCCTGAGCCCTCCTGCACCGCCAGCAGCTGTTCTAGCCAGCTGGCTGTTTTCCAGTCTCTTGGCACAGCTACAACAGCCTGGAGATATTAAAATGCATCAGGGAAACTCGCTTCCCATCAGAAACACAACTTCGGTTCTCTTCTAAGTCCATGCCAACAAGGCACTGCCCTGAAATACATCTTCTTCTGAAGAAGCAGGCTTCCTCAGCTTCTCCACACCAGCGTGGATCTTCAGCGTGCTGCTGGGCAGGTCTGGCTCTGCTTGTGGCTGTCCCCCCTGGTATCTCTCCCTGCCTGTCCTGCAGCAGATGCACCCCAACAGGCTCCTGGTGAAACATGGCTAGCAAAACAACCCCTGTGACCCACCAAGTCCCATCCCCACCACAGTGCCTACATGAGGAATGAGGATGGGCAAGCAATAAATGACAAGAGCGCTGTGTCGATGCTCATGTGGTGTGAGGAACGCCTGTCATTCCTGCTTTGCTTCTGTCTTCCTGTTAGCTGCAAAACAAGATGTGGGAGAGAGGTTAACTGTGGTGTCTTGGACTTTATCTTGCTGAGAAAGAGTTCACAAAGGTGCACTTTACAAATGATTAAGCTTTGTTTTTCAGAGAGGAGGGGGGCAGGTTTCCTGCAAGGGCTCATCTTGAAGGCACTTCAATGTTTTCTTGATCACCACAATTCTCGAGTGAGATTATTTTTTTCCTCAGGACAACCTTCTAAAATCCTAGAATAGCTGCAACTTCAGCTTAATAGAAGGTTTTCTCTGGAAACTCAGTTATCCCCATATCCCCAGACACTCTCACTCCTGCTCTGACTTGCCACCTTGTCCTATTAATTGACAATATGCTGCAGGAACATAACTTATCACCAGCATTATGAGTCATTAAAACTTGAGCCCATCCTGGAAAATCCACCTTGGATTTTGAACTTTCCTCTGCCACCAACCTCAGTTCAGGAACATCTGAATTCTGAGTCCTGATTCTCACCCCCCTTCCTAAAGAGCAACTGGGCTGTGAATTGCACCAAGACCCGGGTGCAGCCCTTCCTCTCATTATATTGCTTGAGAGCTTTGGGTTAGAGTTTCAAGCCCATATATAGACAGAATTCCTTCTCTCTATAGCATAACCACCAAAACAGTGTAATGTGCCATGTGTCATGAACTCAGAAATTACCTTGTGTCGGCGTTCCTCAATGGACTTGAGTTATATTTTGGTGGGAAGATAATCCTATGATGATGGCATGCTGCCAAACAGCTCTTTGTCTGCTGTTAACTCGGCTCTACCTGCTCCAAAAAACAATGCTTTCCACACTAGAAAATTACAACCTGGAGCAAGAAGCAGATCTGACCTATTCAAAAGGGGCCAAAAAAGGTAGAAACACAGTAGTGGCTGCTGTACCAAGAAATACCTTCCCACACAAATGCCATCACCTGGGGGTAATGTCAACTAGAGAGCTTTATCTTGGCTTGCAGAGAGCTAAATCCTTGGTGCACACTGTGTTTCTGTGAGGCTGGAGAAAATTGGCTACTGGCGTCTCGCAGCTGGGCAGGATTTCAGTTGTTTGTTTGTTTGTTGCAAATCTGTTGTTTAAACAAAACCGCTGTGGTAATTCTTAATCCAGAAGGTGCTGGGAACATAAGACCTTTACGAGGCATTTGTCTGTGAGGTCTTCTCAAGAACACAGTAGTTTCATGGCTGTATTAACCGCTGGTGCTTTAGGTACCTTGACAGAAAAAAGGAGAAAATCTTAAATGATTATCAGTGCTGACAATAAGAAAGCAGTGGAAATCGAGTTGAAAAGAACCCAACACTGCCTAAAGGACTGAACTGGACCTATTTTATCTCTATGTAAAATCTCTGGTGGTGCTCAGGGAAGGAGAAAAATAACCCTAGAGGTGATGGGCTTACAGAAGTCTCAGCCCACACATGCTTTTGTTGGAGCATTCACACAGCTCACAAAGCTTCCCCAGAACAGGGTTCAAATGTCTTAACGCTTCACTCTGCGTTTGAGATCTCCCTTTTACAAACCCAGCTGGGGCAGAAAAGGAACAAGTGCTGAACACAAATCAAGGGACAGTGTAGAGAAAGCTGACTCCATAAGGAATGGTCTCCACAACTTTTCCAGGGGAGAGTCCTCTCCTGTTCCTTGCTCCTTGCACAGCTGGGTGAAGGCACACAAGCAGCCTGGCGACTCGTCCTCCCCAGACCAGAGGTGTTAGGTTAGATGGAGATGGGGGTTGAGAAAGAGGATGAGACAGGGCAGGGAACAGACTGATCTCCTTTCCACACGGACAGTTTCCACCCCAACCCTGGGCACCCAACCCTCACGACCCAGAGCCCTCTGTCAGCCCTACACGAAGCCCCAGGAGGGCTGGCAGGCAGACAGGAGGGCTTGCACACCTTCAAAGCAAAGTAAAATAGATTAAATCACTGCTGAACTCTTTCTACATTGGGCAAATACTTACTCACCTTCAAAGCAAAGTAAAATAGATTAAATCGCTGCTGAAGCTACTGTTAGCTGATGGTCTGCTGGACTCTTTCTACGTCGGGCAAATACTTACAGAGGAAATTCTTGCTCCTCCATGCATATTAAGAAGCATGCTAAGGGAAGGCAGAGAAAAAGGGATAGAAACAATTTGTGAAATGAGATCACCACTCCAGGGGAGAGTCCTCTCCTGTTCCTTGCTCCTTGCACAGCTGGGTGAAGGCACACAAGCAGCCTGGCGACTCGTCCTCCCCAGACCAGAGGTGTTAGGTTAGATGGAGATGGGGGTTGAGAAAGAGGATGAGACAGGGCAGGGAACAGACTGATCTCCTTTCCACACGGACAGTTTCCACCCCAACCCTGGGCACCCAACCCTCACGACCCAGAGCCCTCTGTCAGCCCTACACGAAGCCCCAGGAGGGCTGGCAGGCAGACAGGAGGGCTTGCACACCTTCAAAGCAAAGTAAAATAGATTAAATCACTGCTGAACTCTTTCTACATTGGGCAAATACTTACTCACAGAGGAAATTCTTGCTCCTCCATGCATATTAAGAAGCATGCTAAGGGAAGGCAGAGAAAAAGGGATAGAAACGATTTGCAAAATGAGATCACCACATGCAGAAAATGGACAAAGATGACCTTGTGCTCTGAGCAAGACCAGGTCTAGCACAATCTTGCAGAGATCCATAGCTCAGCAACACTCTGGGAGCAAACTGAAGATGGGAAGACATGCAGAAAATGGACAAAGATGACCTTGTCCTCTGAGCAAGACCAGACATGCAAGGACTAGCACAATTTTGCAGAGATCCATAGCTCAGCAACGCTCTGGGAGCGAACTGAAGATGGGAAAAAATCCCCTTGTGAAGCTCATAGTTTAGCTAGCAGATTCTTGGAGGAGTTAAAAACACAGCTGTGTGATCCCAGCTGTGCAGGGCTCTCCAGAAGCACGTGAAGAAGCTCCTAGGAGATCTGAGAGGTCTGAGACACTAGCTCTAGCACAGAGGGCTGCCCAACTGCAAAACCCCACACTGGAAAGAGGGACTTGCCCGTTTGTAAGAGCTGGAGAGAGTCCCAGACCTAGGGACTGGACTCAGCCCAGTTTAAACATTTGAGAAGTGCTGGGGACCCAGTTCATACACAACACACTGCTCCAGTGGCCATGTCAGAGGAGGTATGAGCTAAGTCAGGCTGTAAAGCCGCAACGGAACTGAGCTGAGGGCAGGGCCAGTGTCTCAGCCAGCTCTAGCACCTATCCTTCACTCCCTGCATCTCCTGCAGAAGAATGAAGTGTTTGGGGATGCAGACTGGAGCGGAGATGTCTGACACCCCTTGCTTTTTGGTTCTACCCTTGGAAAGATCAGCTTTCCTAACATTTTTCCTTTTCTTTCTCAGGGAAGGCTCCAATGCCGCGACCTCACTACAAACCCCAAGAACCAAACGGCTGTAGCTCCTATTTTCTGGGGCTTAAGGTACCCGAAAGTGTATGTACTGTCACACCAATGATCCCCAAACGATGCCATTCTCTAATGAAAATAACCAGCTAATAATATTGGGGTCGAGGAGGAAAGGCTTAGCTGTGCTAAAGACTGACTGTGTGATGGCTTCTCCACAGCTGAAGCCAGAGCTCTGGAAAAGGGAGGAAATATCACTTATGTGATGTTAAGGGACAAGTTATTTGCTTGGGACTGCCAAAGGACACGGCTGGCTGCTGACAGCAAGGCAAACATGTCAGTCTGGGCACTGCCTAACTAAATGTCAGTCAGGGAGGCATTAGGATCTCAGCTGCTGGTGGCAGTGAAACAGGAATCACATAGACAGGAGTTACATTTATGAAGGACTGGCCTGTTGCTCTGGTTGTCTTGGTAGGTACCAAAAGAGGAAGTTTCCTGAGCAGGTTAGCACTAGAAGAAGAAGTACCTGGCCAAGAAGAGCACCATCTTGGAGAAACAGATTTCTATGAAGGCCCTGATCCATCCTCTGCACTTGTGATAGGAAAGGGAACACGTTTGGTGCTGGGCAGCTCAGTAACACAGCAGAACCTGCAAACAGCAATATTTGAGTGCATTCTCCACACCTGGCCCTTCATCCCTTCCCATGATTTTTGCCTCTGTCAAGCACGGAAATAAACCCGTGGGCTTTAATACTGCACCCACTTGTTATTTTAAAGGCAATTAATGAAATCCTGTTGTAACCACCAGGAAAAGCACTGCCAGGAGGCTTTAAGAGCAGGAATTACTATTTAGCTCATGCATTACTGCTGCCTGTGAAGTTTGCAGCAATTAGGCAGATTCCTGCTCTGAAAACTCCTCCCTTTACAGCCCATTTTTCATGTTAGATTAACTCTCTGAACTACTTCCCACTGCAAACCTTGTGGGCATTTCTGAGGTACCTCCTCCTTACGCAGGCAGTCATGAGCACAAGAGCAATGAAGAAAAAACTCATCTCCTAAATATTACATGAGGAAGGCCCAAAAGAGGAAGAACTTATGACAAGCTAACGAGTCCAGTCTCTCAAGGAGACAGTCTTTCTGCCCCATCGCCCCCATGGTTATTAGCTGTTTACCTCCAAACAACCAGAACTCCCAGGACCAAGCTGTATTTGTCCTTGGCCTTGCAAGCGCATCTGTAAGAAATAAGGCATTAATAACACTTGTAGCAGATTTATTAGGCCAAGAATCAGGATTTGTCGTTGTGGGAAAATAAGGAAAGAGAAAAGGGGCTTCTGCCACTGCTAGCAAGGAGAGGAAGATTTATTAGGCCAAGAATCAGGATTTGTCAGGCTGTGGGAAAATGAGGAAAGAGAAAAGGGGCTTTTGCCACTGCTAGCAAGGAGAGGGAGCTCACCATTGAGCTTTGATGAATTAATAATTAGCAAATGGTCATGGAGGGGCTGTGCCCCACCTCTCTATCAGAAGTTAATACCATGTGACAGGAGAGAGGAGAATAGGGTCTACCCTGCATTGGACCTGCACTACTGTTGCCACTTTGCATGGTGAGGGAGAAGCATGTTTTCCCTCCTGCCACCCCAGCTATTGGTAGCAGCTTCTAGAAAAGAAACCAGTTGGGTTCTGCAAAACCTCACCCAGCTGTGGCTGTTTGAGTCTGAAGCCAGAAGGCAGCCCAGGGATGCTTTTTTTCTCTCTTTCTCCAGCTAGATTTGGGCATCCCTGCCATGACCAAGTGCTGCAACCAGCTGGACGTTTGTTACGACACCTGCGGGGCCAACAAATACCGCTGCGATGCCAAGTTCCGCTGGTGCCTCCACTCCATCTGCTCCGACCTCAAGCGCAGCCTGGGCTTCGTCTCCAAGGTGGAAGGTAGGCTTCCCGGCTTGCAGCCCCTGCGGAGGGAACAAGAGATGGCAGGGAGGGCAGAGTGTGGGCAGGAAGTCCTTTCCTTGCCAAAAGAAACACAAACCTGCAGTAGGGAGCACTGCACGTCTGTCCAGTGCTTGTCACAGATGGGTCAGAGCTGAGGGAGAACACGTGGTTCTGAGATCTGCACACACACTTGTGTCCCAAGACTAGACACCTAAAACTATTTACGTTTGGAAAACACATGTGGATAGAAAGAAAAAAACCCACAACAACAACAACAAAATAAAACCACCCGAAACACAAACCTGCAGTAGGGAGCACTGCACGTCTGTCCAGTGCTTGTCACAGATGGGTCAGAGCTGAGGGAGAACACGTGGTTCTGAGATCTGCACACACACTTGTGTCCCAAGACTAGACACCTAAAACTATTTATGTTTGGAAAACACATGTGGATAGAAAGAAAAAAACCCACAACAACAACAAAATAAAACCACCATAGAAGCAATTCCTTCAACCCTTGGATGCCCACCTGGAGAGTTCAAACACTTCACGGGAGATCAAAAAGCCTTCCAGAGCCAGTAAGCCACACACTGAAACCTGTAGGTGGCCAAGGGCCAACAAACTGGAAGGTCAAGGACAGGAACTCTCTGGGATCTGGTTCACAGATAAGCAATGACGGTGGCACCAGGGACACACCACAGCGTGGGGGGTGGCTCAGCCATTGCAGGGAAGATCTGGATTGCTCAGAAGCCCTCGTGCTACCAAAGCTCTAGTGATGTGTCACCAGCTCAAGAGTCACCCTGATTTTGCCTAATTTTAAAAGCCTCAGTCTGCAAGTTTGAGAAGAGCTTTTTGAACCTGTGTGGAGGTTATGCCTGTGATAGCCCAAGCCTCCCTCTTGATCCTCTGTGCCAACAGCAAGCACCTCAGCACTGTGTGAGGAGGGGAAAACATCTACCCAACCACTCCCAGAGGTCAGCAATGGCAGGAAAGCCTCCCCCAGGCCATTTCAGAGTGTCCCCATCCTCTGTAGGGCAGGTACTCACCTCTTGCAGAGGGGCTGTGTGGCAGTAATGCAGGACAGGCAGAGGTAAGACCTACCAATGGCAGGTAACACTGAAACAGTTAAAGATATCTACAGGAGATCAGGTCTGAAAAAGCAGCAGAGTCCTTGAGAACAGCCCATTGGCAAAGCCAAACAGAGCTGGTGGTGCTGCTGAGTTTCTCCCAGCTAACCTCAGCGAGCCCCTCTGGGTTCATCCCCACAGCCCATGTCCTGCTGTAAGGTATAGTTAAATACACGTTTGTTTTCCAAAGGCACAGCCTGATTAGGACACATGGGCAAGTCTGCATGAAAATCTCCTCTGGAGATTTTCAAGACCCACCTTGATGGAGTCCTGAGCGATGTGCTGTGGGCAACCCTGCTTTGGCAGGGGAGTTGGTCTAGATGATCTCTAGAAGGTCCCTTCCAACTCCAACAATTTGGTGATCTGTGACACCAGTACTCCCTTCCAACTCCAACAATTCTGTGATCTGTGACACCAGTACCGGTGCAGGTAGCTTCCTACCTTGTTTCCTACCTCATCACAGATAAATGTTTAGAAAGAGTGTCCAGGCCAGCAAGAGAAAACAAAGATATCTACCTCATCACAGATAAATGTTTAGAAAGAAGAGAAAACAAAGATACGGACTGAGATATAAGCCCTACAGGCCAAGTACAGCCAATCTTTCATGGTCACCCTTATCTACAGACTTTTGTACAGCCGACCTCTTCCTATCTCTTCAGATTTTCCCCTGCCAACTTTTCAGACCCCTCCTTTTTCCTTGCTGCCAGCAACAGTGAAGCCAACAGACAGGCACTAAGGAGTTAAGGTGGAGCAGCATCCACACTCCTTGGCTGAGCCAAGCCACCTCTGCCTATAGCCAAATAGGACTAGATTCCTCAAGCATCTCTGACTTGGTTGCTGAAGGAGGCAAAAGCTTTGCTAACACAACAAACCTCTGAACCATTCCACCTCTCCACCCCTTGCTCTGCCTCCTCTTGCCTTGTGCTCTGTACCTGCCACTCCAGGTCCTCAGGGTTGCTTTGAGCAGCTCCTGTCACGCTGCCTCCTCTCCTCCATTGCCATCCCGGGTCTTATCTGGGATCCTTTCCACTGAGTCACCGGGAGTTCAGAGAAAGCAGGCAGGGGAAGAGCAGCTGCAGCCACAAACATCCCAGCTGCAACACTGCCAGTTAACCAAAAGCTTGGTTTTTTGACTCACTGCATCCTCTGCAACGCCTGCCAACTGAACAGACTCCTCAAGCAGCAGGAGGTGGTCAGAGAGGCTGAGATGGGAGGAGACAGTCCCAAAGGCAGGGCCTTCCCAAATCTCTTATATATATACAGCAATCAACATCAGTGCCAGTGAGTAAACCCTACAAGACCTGGTAGTAGCCTATTTACTTATTGACAAGCAGCTTTGGGCTTGTTCTTTGGGAAGAGGAAGGGCTAGTGGTGAGGCAGACAGCTTTGCTGTTGCAACCACAGTAGGATTTTTCATGTTGGCTGGCAGCCCACGCTGTAACTCCCAAAAGGCAGAAAAGCTTGGTCAGTAGCAGCTGTAGGCAACCAAGGGGAGAGGGAGCCAGGAAAGACAGTACTCTGGAAGTCTTCTGGGAAATCTGCTGGATAAACAGTGCTATTTGATGGATCATTTGGGGCACTGCAAAGAGAAAAGCCTGAGAAAGACAAGAAAAGAAGGGAGCTAGCGGGGAGAGAAGTTAGTGCCAGATTGGTGCCACCCTAGAGCGAAAACAGCCCTCAGTTCAGCAGAAGGGAACGTCAAGATTTATAAAAATGCAATAACCAGAGAAAAAAAAAAGCAGCCCATACTTCTAACCACAAATACCATGCAACTGGACAGCAAAATGACAATGAGCAAGCAGTGTGCTCTTGTGGCCAGGAAGGCCAACAGAATCCTGGGCTGCAGAGGGAAGAGTGTGGCCAGCAGGTCAAGGGAAGTCATTCTCCCCCTCTACTCTGCACTGGTGAGGCCACAACTGGAATCCTGGGTCCAGTTCTGGGCTCCCCAGTTCAAGAGGGACAGGGAACTACTGGAAAGAGTTCTGTGAAGGGCAACAGAGATGATGGAGGGATTGGAGCATCTCCCTGATGAAGAAAGACTGAGAGAGCTGGGACTCTTTAGTCTGGAGAAGAGAAGGCTGAGGGGAGCCCTTATTAATGCTGACAAGTATCTCAAGGGTGGGTTGAAGGAGGAGGGAGCCAGACTCTTTTCAGTGGTTCCCAGTGAGAGGACGAGGGGCAACGGGCACAAGCTGGAACATAAGAGGTTCCACTCAAATATGAGAAAAAACCTTCTTCACGGTGAGGGTGGCAGAGCCCTGGAAGAGGCTGCCCAGGGAGGGTGTGGAGGCCCCTTCCTTGGAGATTTTCAAGCCCCGCCTGGATGCTCCTGAGTAACATGCTCTAGCTCTAGGCAATCCTGCTTCAGCAGGGCAGTTGGACTAGATGACCTCTATGGGCCCTTCCAACTCTAAAAATTCAGTGAAATTCAGTGAAAACCAGTCCAGGGCTCAGGCTAGGATGCTTTAACCCAGCCCCCAGATGGCCCCAAGTACCTGCCTGATCTTTTCCTTCTCCACAGCTTGTGAATCCGTCGCGGACACGGTGTTCAACGCCGTCTGGACCCTGGGCTGCCGGCCCTTCATGAACAGCCAAAGGAGTGCCTGCATTTGCAACGAGGAAGAACGAGATGAATTGTGAGGAAGCGCAGACGCCCGGCCTCCACGAGCCTGCTGCCAAGCATCCCCCCTCAGATACAGTGATTCCTACCAGCCCTCTGGCCGAGCACGGGATGAGGGAACCTGGGCCAAGCAATACACACCGACTGCAGCGTTTGGGCAGAGGGGCTGCGAAAGGGGAGACAGCCTGTCAACGCGGGGCAGCGATGCCTGCTGCCCACCACAGATGCAGTTCAACAGCCCTACCCCTTTCCAAGTCCATCAGTCTGAATGATCTGATGCCAATTTTCTCTACAGACTGCTCAGGAGATGCAAGCAGGATGCAGTACTGGTTATAAACAGGGGGCTTTATTTGTTTGCTATAGACACATGTATATTAGCTCTCCCTGCCCCTTAACTCTCTAATTTGAAGTGCAAGGCATTAGGTTTCTGCAACCCCTGAAAATCCCAGACCATGGACACTATTTACATTTTTCCACCACTGGTGACAGACTGAGAAGAAGGGTACTTTGCTTTCAGTACGTTGCTCACACCCATCCCTGACATTTTCCATCCTGTCATTACACGCCCTGACAACACTGCTTATTTAAACACTTGGTGGATCCTAAAGCTATTGAAAACACCCAGGGATTTGGTAAGCACGAGCAGGACTTTAAGTGTTTGTGATACAGGCACAATTCACATCTGGAGAGAAGGAGACTCAAAGCCCATCACATCTGAGGTGTGAAATCACAGCACTCTCCCACAGTCTCAGGAGATGAAGCTGCTTTTCTTTCACAGTGTCACCCAGATCTATTTAATTATTTTCCTCCTAGATCCTTTCACAAAGCTTTTCCCTTCGGATCCCTTTTTACACAAAATGGCTGGGTATCCACCCCCATCTTTTGTACGAGGGAAAAGGAAGGCTCCCAGTTGGCTCGGATGAGATAATCAAAATTCTGGAGGCTGATGTGTCAGGTGGCAGGGCTTACACACCACCTCTGTGGGACACCAGCTGTGGAGTGACCAGCAGCCTCAAGACAGCGTTCATGGTTAATACTTCCATCTGCTATCGGGAGCTTTTATTGCGTGCAAAATTAGAATTTAAAGAGGTATATGGAATTTCATCTGCATATAACATTTGCAGACAGCTTTCATCTGTGTTTCTTGTTGAAAGGAAGTTGCTACTGGGTACGCGTGCCATGTCACATAAATATTTCAGTGACTTCTGCAAACATATTTATGTTATCCCATCTGCAACAGTTAAGACTACAGAGGAGTGCTTTAACAAGAATGGAAAGAGTCTGCCTTAGTTACTTTTCTTTTAGTTTGTGTTTAAATGCATGCAGAGAGCTATAAATTGTTTAAGCCCTGTATTCCTGTTCTTGCCAGTCATCTTTGCTTTACAGTGAACAGCAATGAGACTCTCATCTGGCCCCAGGTAGATTGAAACAACAAGAGCCCGTGGGTACGAAGAGCAGGAAAACAGAAGTGAGCACACGAGGTGTACTGGGATGTTTTCCATTAAGAAGGACCTTAATTGACACTGATTAGATGCAATGACATCCTTTCCTAGCTGTGCTAATGCCATCAGAGAGTGCGTACCACGCTGCCAAGGTCCATCGCAGTCTGTGTCTATCAGAGAATGAGGCTGGACAGACAATCTGATTATCCGTCTAAGAAACACACGCTTCTGGCTGGGGATGGGAAAGAGACATTCCTCCTTCCAGACACTTCCCAAACTTTGTATTTCATTGGTGAAATGGTTCCTGTTGCCATTTTTAAATGGGAGCATACTTTTATGATTAAATGACAAAATAAAAAAGTTTTTAAAATCTATCCGGTCTATGCTCAATAGCTGACTGACTGGCAATGTCTTAAAGCATTTTATAGTTCAAGCGATATCAGATTAAAGCCAGGCCAAGGAACTGATGACAGATGATGATATACACTGGAGAAACCAAAGGCTTCTGAACAAAATATCTCTATCCACACACTGACGCTTTGGAGACACCACTAACATAAATCATAATTTCTTCATGCTTTCAGATCATCCCAAAACACTACAGACTGCTCCACGCAGCGCAGCTACTGAGTAAATGCATTTTTCACTAGGAAGTTAAGCTGTGGTAATCTGAAACACCCCATGAGCAGCTCTATAAGGAAACTTTTGAACCTTCAAGTGGTGGCAGCGCCTCAAGAAAACCACCAGACAACCCTGTGTAGGAGAAAAGCAGTGTGTGAACTACAGTAAAACTTCTGCAGCCAAACTAAAAATGGCTTCCCATCCGCACCGCTCCTGCTACTTGGTGGTGTAGAGTCACTGAAGCAGCTGATGGCAGAACTCTCCAGGTCAATGCACAAACTCTGGGTCATCTTCATCTCCACCCTGCTGTGAGCAGGAATAAGACGATGCTCACCCGATGGCTTCCTCTTGACTTTGTGTATTGGCAGGATTATTGGCAGCTCTTACTGATGTTCAACCCATTGGGCAATCATGCCCTCTCCTAGAAATGGTTCCTCAAGCAGTAATCTCTGAGTTTCTGCTGAGGACATAAAAGCAAGGCATAGGATGGCAGGTAATAGGTGTCTACTCCTGGACATCCAACACGGCAGATTAAATTAAACAGACAAACAACCCCCTTGGCTCATCAGATGAGTTTGGCCTTTCATAGAATCATAGAATCATTCAGGTTGGAAGAGACCCTTGGGATCATCAAGTCCAACCATGTCCAGGCTGTAACACTGATAAAGACGACAGATGGAAGTGAGAGGTAAAGTGGGGAGAGCTACAAGACTTAGAAAAATGGTTTTGTTTGTGGTGAGGAGGCATCTCCTCCACATCAGAGGAGGGATGGTCACAGGGCAGTAGCAGAGAGTAGACCTGCTCTCCTGCCTGCAGAGCAAAGGGAACACCTTCCCAGACTGCTCCATTCACATGGCCACACAAAACCAGCATTTCCTTCCCATCACTCTTAAAGATGATTTAACTAAAAAGCTTCGGAGTGCAAAGTCTGCTTCATATGAATTTGTCAGGAAGAACGAAATAATGTGCACAATAACTGAAATAAGCCAGGAGATGAACCTCTCTCTCCACCACTCCCCCACCTCCCTTTCACACGAACAAAAAAAACCACCAGTTGCCTCTCCAGAAGGCACCAACTAATTAATTTCATTTCCCACTCTTGTTTTATCAAAACAAGTATATTTAGCAGGGGCTGCCTGAACAAAGATGTGACAATGGGAAATTTCCCGTGTGGTCCTAAAGCAGACATGAATCATCATCATCAGGAGACATACAACACTGCAAGAAGAAGAATTTTTCATTTCTTTTCCTTTCACATATGGTTAGATAACACATGAAAAGTGTCTTTCCATTTATACCTACTTATCATCATCGAAACATTGTCATTTATTCTAACATAGACACACGCACACACATATTCCCCAATTGGAAAAGCAGCCATGAAGCGATTTAGAAAAATCATGAAACTCCCAGCCCATCAAATGCCCATTCCTCACTGGAATCTCAGTCACCAGAAGAAATAAATCTGCAAAATGGAATACTGCTGAGGTGATTTGTGACTCCTTCCTAAATGGTCCCTTCAAGCGGGACTACCCATCCATTTGAGAGCAGCAGCAAATTTTGGCTTTGGCAGCAATTTGGCTGCTTCCAACTGAAGTAGGAAACAGGTAATGCAGACTATGGGGGGCTTCCAGCACACCTCCCAACACACAGGACACAGCTGCACACTGTGAAACTTCTGGCAGAAAACCTCATCAACACACTGTGGTGCCACAGCTCACGGTGGAGCCGGAGCCTTCCTCTCTCACCCTCCAGCCTCACCTCTCCTTACTTTGTCCTTCACTGCCTGCTGTGCTTCCTTCCTTTCACCCCACACTTCTAATCCTTCACCATACAGCTCTTCAGCTCCTGAATGCAGCCCAGAGGAGACCAAGCTGATAACCTCTTATATTTTCTTTGGAAGAGTTTGACAGCCCAAAGGGATTCCCTGACAAGCACGATGCCACCACCATCACCACTAATTGTGTCTCTAGACAGCTCTCAGCCACCAGGAGACTGCGAATGCACAGAATCATTCAAATGGGGCTGCCATGTCTCCTGTCACCAAGCTCACTGGGGACAACCCTGTCCCAAGAACTACCTGCATTACAAAATGATTGCTATAAATACTTAATGTGTGTTACTCTAATCCCTTGGTGAGAGCCGCGGCCTCTCTTAGAGCAGGGTAATGCATTTCAGCTTTCAGACAAAGACTTGGTAGCAACACGCTTGGGGTGGGTGTTTATAGATGTTTAATGGTCTTTTTCTTACAATCAAGGTGCTATAGAGAGAGGAAAACAACGATACACTAAATGCAAGAGGAAACACTACACTAAATGCAAGAGGAAACGCTGTTAAGCTGCATGCAACTATTAAAAGACACACACAAAATCAAGTTTTATTAAATACCTTTTACTATTTAAAAATAACATTTAAATGTGTCTGTGATAAATCTGAGCTTTAGCTGAGGAAAGGAACTTATGCGTTATGGGATGTATATTTTTATACATGTTTTTATTAACGGTCATTCAAAATCTCAGCACACCCGAAAGCTTCAGCATCACTCACAGAACCACTATTCAGCTACAATACTATTTGTATTGCCTGATGGAAGAGGGGCTTGAATAACATTCGTTTAGTCAAGGACAAACAGTCCTGTAGAGCCTGCAGGTGGATGTAGGGAAAGACAAAGTCAGGTAACATTTTGGGTCTGCAAAGCAATAGGGTCCCTTCAACCGAAGGCTTGTTGGGAAGAAACACAGGTGAAAACCAAACTGTTCTGCAGTCCGGGATGCCCTCAGAGGCTGCCTCGTGTGCCCAACATACTTCACAAATAGTCATCACACATTTAGGGAAACAAGTCCTGAGGTTCAGGTGAGGCTTTACAAAACACCTCTTGTTTCTCAAAGAGCCATGAAAGAAGGCACTGATAAGGAAGGTTGGTCTCAGGCAGAGATGGTGTTCCAGTAGGTGGGTCTTAGTCGTCAAAGTCGATTCTGATGGGGCCGCCTGTCAGGATGTGGTTTGCCACGTGACCAGACTCTTCCTCCTCCTCTTCCTCTTCCTTCTCCATCGCTGCCAACCTGCGCACCCGTCTCCGGCAGCCCTGGGCACAGCGAGAGCTCTCGTCCAGTGCCCCGCACACCAGGATGCGGCAATGCAAGAACACCTCCTGGAGGGTGGTGAGACAGCAGGCCACGTCAACACACAGCTCTGGGCATCAGCCTGGCAGTGCTGCCAGCTCTCAGAGAGCGTGAGCGACACAATTCCTACACTACAGCCATTCCTCTCCCTGCATCAACAAGGTCCTGATCCACCATCACCATCCACAGCCAAACTGGCTGCTCCATCTGTTTTCTTATCTGTCCAGGAGAAGGCAAGTTTTCCAGAGTGCCCAGTTGAGATCTCAGAGCATGCATCTGACTGTCAGCCAACGGCTAGACAGGGAATATGAAGGTGTTATGATATGAAGGTGTTATCATATATGAATATGATTCTCCAGAGGAAGGGATGAAAATGCCAGGAATAAGCTTAGAAGAGCTCACATGGTCTGGTAGGAGCTGCATGGTAGGAAGCAGGTCAAGAACGCATGAAGCCTTCACAAGGAGATGGACCGATAGAAACGTGCAAGAGGATGTGACATGAGCTGAGAACACAAAGCTAGGAGACTGAGGGGTAAAGGAGGAATATGCAAGTAGTTGAGGGGAGGAAGAGAATACAAAGGGCAGAGAGAGAGCTGCCTTTTCCTTCTGCTCCGTAAAGGCAGACAGTGACAGGTTTGCTGCTCCCTGCCCTCTAAGCGACAAGGAGAGTAAGCAAGATCCTTGCAAGCAGCAAATTAGGGAAGTAAATATTTGTGAATGTTTGGTCAGCAGAGAGGTTTGAAGCAAAATCCATTGCACAGAGGATGCAGGTTAGAGGCAGCAGTGGTAATCAGACAGCCAAGCAAAATTTCTGAATTTTGAAAGATCTCATCTGTTTTAACCCTACTGAGGCTTTCCGGGAGCTGGACAGGCAGCTTCATGCTTTTTGGAGCAAACAGCATTGGCTGACCATAACAACAGCGACTGAAAGTCCTGATTTCTTGTAGGAAAGCTATTTATATTAGGTAAATAGCATTATCCTTCAACTGTCTTCCCACTACAAAGCTTCTGCCCCAGAGTGCCACCAGCCTGGATGGCCGGGTTTCACATTGAATTAAAACAGTGTGATGGCCTTGTATCTGCATTCACAAGAACTAGAGAAGATATAAAGTTGAAGAGATTCAAAACTATAGACTGCCTTGTTTTAAAATAGGACACTGTGTAATGTGCCTAACTCCCCAGGTTTCTGTTTGGTTACTGGTATCACTTTTCTCACCCAGCATGCAAGGGTCCACTGAGACTACCCTGGAAACAACAATGATTTTAACCTGCTATAGTGTTGACGTTTCACAACTTGTCCTTCATATTTTACTTAATTGTAGGTGTTTTCATCACTGTCTCCTAAAGTACCTTTGTCAGGCTCCTGAAAGACACAACTGCTGGAACAGGCACAGCAGCATCTGCCTTGGGCCAAACCATTCCCTCCCGTTTGCACTCTTAATTCAGCCAGCTCTGTGCTGAGACTCTTCAGTCAGATCACGGCTGATGCAATATCTAAGAGGTGGGGTTTTGAGCTTACCTTGTTGTCTTTGCCCACAAACTTGAACACAGGAACCTGGAAATGCTTGGCAAGATGGTCCTTTGACGTGTACTGTTTCACTGAATCATCAGAAACGCAGCTAAGGAAAGCAGAGGGATGGGCGTTAATGGTTTTCCCAGAAATGGAAAAAAGAAAGAGAAAAAAACACCCCACCCTATTTAACCAAAGAAAGGAAAGGAGGGCTTGGCTGCCTCAAGCTAAGCTACCATCCCTGTTACTTCCTGTTTGGCCACAGGAGAAAATTCGGTAACGATGGGGAAAAACACCAGGGGTGATAATAGAATCTGCAGACAAGGAACAGCTCAGCAGCAGAGAGCTGGCAGGACGTGGTCCCGTCCCCTCGGCAGAGGGACTGCCAGAGCTGCAGGCAAGTCTATCCTCATTTCACCTTCCTGTGCAACAGTCTGCAGCCATCAACAGAACTGTTACACAGTGTGGAATGTATGAGATACTTTCTGTATACAGATATATATGCACATAAATCACACTTAAAATGAATAAGCTGTAACCCATATTACTAAAATATCGGCGATGATATTTTTAAAAAATTCAAGATCTACTTTGCTTTACATCATTTACATTTTTCTTCCTGCTGGCCTTGATCAGACAGCTAAAATTCACAATTTCAATTTCCCCATCACTAGCACTACGCAGTCATGCAAGAGCTCGCAGAACTGCAAGAAAATAAATTACTTTTAAAATGTTACATTTCGGGTACAGTGTATTTATAAACTACTGCAGCCTATTTACAGTTTGACAGAGAAACATCAAGACAAAAAGTTATGGTGACTTGATATTTATGGTTGCCTATTGCAAAGCCTCAGGCATTTTGAGAGGCCCAGATGCTGCTTTTATATTGCGTTACAATCGAGCATATCCTTTCTAGCAAGTTAATTCCAGAAATATAGACTTTGCAAGATACCAGAAAAAAAAAAGTGGTGGTGGAAGAGACAAGAGGTAACGCTGTGACAGCTGAAAGACCTACTCTTGCAGCAACCTTTAGTTTTCCATCTTTACACCAGAAATAGGTAAGGCACTGTCAGAAATGCTGACACTTGACACGTTCAATTATCAAACAGCAGCAAACCCCACATCTATACGCAGCTCTGCTTCCACTGCAATGTGTTTGGAAATCTCTGTGCTGTTGGGCTGACTCGGCTCCGTGGGCGGCAGGTACCGCAATCCCTCCCAGAATCGCCCTTCTGCTACGGACAGGAGAGCAGTGTACGTTCAAGGGATCACTAAGCATTGATCCCAGCATTATTTTTCATCACTGTGTGTTTCTGCAGCTCTTTTCAGCCAGTGGAGGTCACGGTCTGAAGGGATATCCCTGTCTGCAGCGCTTGTCTAGTTAACTTGCCTGGGAGGCAAATGTAAAAAGCCATCCAAGAGGAGCTAATAAATTCACATGGTGCATCTTCAAAAAGTTGACATAGATTCCTCCCCCTTGAGGCCAAACACTAGATGTTACTAAGTCATTTAGGTTAAAATTGCTTTTAAAAGTAGCATTCCTGAAGGCATTTGACTGTAAAGACTGACAGTTAAAGACACTTCATAAGTGACTGGCCGAGCTTTGGGGCTAAAAAGTCAACTGACAGACATGTCCTCATTTGTGAGCATATAAATTGTGATGATTCTTGAACACCAGCTCAAATTGACTCCTAAATCCCAGCTTCTCCACACTGGTGGCAGGTAACCTAGTGGTTTGGGGCTAGGGAATGGGAATATGGAAGAACAAGAAGGAGGAACCAGGGATAAAATGAACCCTTACCATGCCCCTAAGTATGTCTCATGGAGGGTTCTGACAGATGCATTGCAGCATGACAAAAAGAGCTCAGAAGCCTTCTAAGGGGATGGGTCAAACCCTTCTACATTGTGTGTGGGGCCATACCATGTCCCACCCTCTAAGGAAACCCTTAGATCCTGCTTCCCCCCCTTGGCGAGGTGAAAAGGGGCAGGGAGCAGAGGTATGGAAGGAAAATGGGTGACCCAGGTAAGGACACAGGCAGGTTAGGGGAGCTGTGCCATGGGGCTGTGCTCTGACCCTCTTATTGGGGGGTTGCAAGCTGGAAAGGAGGGTTTGGAGAATAAAATAGCCACCTCAGCCTACAAACGAGGGGCAGCCTGAGGTGTAACAGCATGTTCCTTGCAATGGAACTACCTTAACTGCATCACACTCTGATAAATCACAGCTCTTGACCACATCAGATTACAACAGATTGCCCTGGGTGACATGACCTTGCTCTGGATGCCTCGAGAGAGCTGCAATGTTTATCGCCCGCGCCATCGGTCAATGCCTTTCATTATTTTTGTTTTGAGAAAGAGGAAGAAAGAACAAGATCAGAAGCAGGAGAGCTGCTTTGTAGCTGGCAGGCTGGGCTAGCAGCAGTACTGGGTATTACAGAGGCAGCAGGGAAGGATCTGGGAAAACCCTGATTTCCAGCATGGTCACAGCCCAGGGAGAGGGTTAGGGAGTCCCACAGAAGAAGATTTCTACCTTTTACCAGCTGGAGGTGGCAGGGAATTAACAGAGAAGAAAGTAGGAGAGGGAATTTCCCATTCCTCAGTTTAAGGTGTATCCCCTCAAATTTAAACAGTGTTTCCCTCTGGAAGCTGCAGTGAACTCCTGCAGGTCTGATCCCACATAATCAAACTGATTTAAAAATCCCATTTTTATTGCCTTGGGCTTTTGGGGCTGGGTTGGTGGAAGGAAACTGGGTTATTACAGAACCGTTTGGAGCAGGGACAAATCAGCAGTGCATTCAGCTAATTTTACTTTTTAATTGCCCGTGAGCACACCAAGAGACAAAGAACTCCAGTTAGCTAAATAGCAGATCATTAGCCTTTGGTCTAAGCGAGCAGTTCAATTTAAATACAGAGAGGGTTAGGGAGTCCCACAGAAGAAGATTTCTACCTTTTACCAGCTGGAGGTGGCAGGGAATTAACAGAGAAGAAAGTAGGAGAGGGAATTTCCCATTCCTCAGTTTAAGGTGTATCCCCTCAAATTTAAACAGTGTTTCCCTCTGGAAGCTGCAGTGAACTCCTGCAGGTCTGATCCCACATAATCAAACTGATTTAAAAATCCCATTTTTATTGCCTTGGGCTTTTGGGGCTGGGTTGGTGGAAGGAAACTGGGTTATTACAGAACCGTTTGGAGCAGGGACAAATCAGCAGTGCATTCAGCTAATTTTACTTTTTAATTGCCCGTGAGCACACCAAGAGACAAAGAACTCCAGTTAGCTAAATAGCAGATCATTAGCCTTTGGTCTAAGCGAGCAGTTCAATTTAAATACAGCACAGTGCACGGGGGGGGGGCTGGCACGTCGGGGGACACTGGGGCTTGCAGGGAGGGCTGGGTGAGCTCCAGCCAGCCGGCTCCAGCCCACTTCTCCCTTCAGTGAAGTTTTAATGCCCTCTGCAGGATAACAGTACCAAAGGGGCTGCCATAAATCCTCCAGCTAGTGCTGCGGGGAATTCGAGAGAGGACATTTTCTACCTTCTCCCTCCTCTATTTGGCTCAGGTTTTGGCCACTGTTTTAAATCCCATCATTTTCACTCACGGTGAGAAATGAATGAACGTTTGGAGCCTTGACTCTGTGAAGGGTCCACAGGAACAGCTAAGTCAAGGAGTCAATAAATCAATCTTTCCATTACAAATCTGCTCATAAACCCCAGAAATGTCAGGCACTGAAGGACTGCAGCCCAGGGTGGAGGGAGAGCAAGCTAATGCTGAAACCTTTGTCAGAAGGAAATGTAAACTGTATTTTTGTGTACTGAATTCTGCAGGACCCTTTTGCTACAAGACAGTCACACAGGACTAGTCATCACCAGCTGTAATGGTGGACGATTTAGCCTGAAAGCTGAGGAAATAATTGTTGTCTTCATTAAATGGTTCAGCAGACAGAATACAGGACTTAAAATGAGCACAGTCCCTTGATTGTTGGACTATGACACTTGAATATGTTTTAGATATTATCTTGGCTGGATTTTCCTCCCTAGAGCATAGCAGACTGCTTCCCCACTGTGACATTTCCACAGCACTGTCTGGCTAAGTTGCCAGGCACTGCTGGATGCAAGCACTCCACAGCAACACTGCACCGTGGCACGGTCATGGTAGCACCCAAAGGAGTATTTGAAAACAGGGCTCATCATAGGAGGCACGGCAGAGACCAGAGAAACGATCCCCAAACCTCTGACATGAAACGTCAACTCACAGATCCACCCTGAGTTTTTTAGTGGTGTAACCTGGAAAGATCACTAAACTCTAACACCTTGGAAAACTGAGGGAATCTAAGCTTACTGCACTGAGAGGTATGAGAGAGGGAGCAAAGCAAGGGGACCTCCTGCAGCTCCCACCAGGCTCCCACCAGCCGTGGTGTCTTCTGGCTCATGCTCTAATAAAGCCTTTATGGGAAAAGTAAGAAACTTGCTCCAGTTGCTGCAGTGGCTGCACAGCAGTGGCCCACAGCCAGCAGAGGGTTGTGCCGATTGGTTTGGCACTCTGCAGGCTGGCAGAGAGAGGATATCAGGAAGGATATCTTTTCTACTGAAGCCAACTCAATTATCCACAAGGCTAGTTACAGAGAAGCATGTCCTGTAAAGGCTGCGCTTGGAGTAACCTCTTGCACTGCCTCCCACTGTTTCTCTCAATCACTTTTGATGGGAGAGGTGGTTTCAGCTTGATGGCCTGGCTGCTGGTGATGGGGAGGAACACAGCAGGTAGGCTGCTGTGGAGAACTGACAGTGTTTCCCTCCATCTCACAGGCAATGCAACTTAGCCCCACTGCCAATTCCTGTCTAATAGCCAGCAGTGGAGGGAACAGTGAACTTACCCATCTTGAATCAGGTAGTACTTGAGGATCTCATCGATTTTTGAGGTGGGAGTGGCAAAGCAGCTCTCTACAAGTGTCTCTAGTCCATTGACATGTACCAAGGGTTCAATCCCAAAGTACAGAGAGTCCCGAAGCTTGAGGGTGGGAAGAGCACCCCTGTAGGGTTCATCGAAGTCTTTGTCTTTGAAGATCTCAAGAGTGAAGGGGAAGATGCCCTGGTTGCGGCTTATGATTTCTAAGGGTGAGTTCTTGAGGTTGGGTACGTAACCTTCGGAGATGGTGTACCGGCGGGGGAACTCACAGGTCACTGGGATCAGCAGCTTGCTGGTGCGGACAATGATGTCTCCATTGCTTCCTGGAGTCTGCTTTGGCAAGCCGGTCACCAGATTGGTGGCAATGATTTTATCATTTATTACCTGCAGCAAAGAAAAGAGTTTAAGCAGAAGGGGAGATCATTGAGAAAGATGTCTCTACGCTCAGAACAGCAGTTGAGCTTACCTCGTTCAAGCTCAGACATAAATCAACCACTGAAAGAACAGCTTGTGAATTTACGTTCTGCAACCAGAACGATATTCATCCTTACCTACAACCTAAGGGCCTGTATCAGTTTGCTGTCAATTTCGATGCACCGTATTCCTGCACGAAGCAGAGGAATTTGCTTCCATCTTCTACCCATCTGCTAAGGTGAGTTCTCTGGTTCCTGACTGGTTGCCAGTATAACCTTTGGAACATTACCAGGGGACCAGATTCTGTCTCAACAGGAGGGTGATGAGTGACACCTCTTGTGCTTTTTGCACTGGAAGGATGGTGAAGCTGCTTCTGTGAAGGGTTGGGTGAGCAGAAAGCAGTACCCATGCTGTGCTGAGAGGTGCAAACCACTGGAGAGGAGATGGAACAAGCTCTCCTAATTTGGGATGCCACCCCAGGTCTAGTCTGAGGCCAGCTACATGGCAACACAGGAAACTGCTCTGATGGTACAACTAAATCAACTTTATTCCCCAAGTAAGCCATAGCCAGGAGATGGCTCCCTAAATCCAAGAGATCCCAAGAGACAGGACAGCAATGGGTGTACGTACGTCTACAACAGTGCCACAGGACTTCAAGGAGAAATGGATGTTGACGTGAGTGCCATTGGATACTCCTTTGCAGGAAGTGTTGATGAGGGAAAGGTCCAGGCCTCCAACCAGGTCCTTTGGGATGCTCACCTCAATAGAGCTGGACTTGCAGAGCACTGGAACTGCAAGAAAAGTCCCCCAGAATAACACTTTGCACTACAAAATTATCTGGGAACATCAGTATCAGGGAGGTGGGGAAGAATTTACCAATTACTACTGTGGGAAAGAAAAGAGAATTGTTATGCTACAATTATGATACTGTCTAACCTTAGTAATCTACCTACCTATCTTATATGCCCATCTACACAATACAAACCTCCCAAGCTACCACTGCCACAGATTCTCCTGCTGCAGACACCACAAAAGGCAGGAAAGATGACCGCTGTACTCGCAGCAGGGACTCAGCTATGCAGCATTTCCAGCTATACTTAGTTCTCAGCACAGGTTTAATGGGTCTCTTTTGCACTGCTATGTCCTGGCAAGAGCCTTTCCCAGGTATGGATATCAAATTCACAATACCCCAGGCAAAGCCATTTTTTTGAGACCCTTTCTCAGCTTTTCCATCAAACGCAGAACATGGCAAAACAAGGCAGAGTAATTTCATATAGATGCTTAGCTAAAATGGAAGCACCTCAAAATGCCATAATATTTTTATAAGCAATAAACCCAGCTCTGACAAACAAACCCAATTAGCTCGCTTATTCCACCTCCTTCCAACCTTCAAATTTTAATACAGATCTCCACGTGAACTTTTTTAAATTAGAATTCCATTACGTAAGAAGTAGAGAAAACATAGAGATTGAACAAAAAAAAAAGGAAAGAAGAGGGAATAATCTTCAATAAAAAAGTAATTGGCATATGTATTCCTTGGTTGTATGCATTATCTATTCAGTTAGATACAGGACAAGCATATTGGTGCGTATATTCTGGCCTCTTCTCAGCCAGAAAAACAAACCTCCTCCAGAATTTCCATTTATCGTATTTTAAAATCAAATGACAAAACTTTCTGCAAATATACTAGTGCCCCAAGCTTTTTCCTAAAATTAATTACAGTCCCAATCCTTGACATTCATATGATCTGCCTTTCCTTAATTTCAGTTCTTAATTATATAATCCCGGATCTCGGACAGAAGGCACACTGCTAAAACATGCCTTTTACCCCCCCCCCAAAATTCTCCTGTCCCAGCTGAAGTGTTTGTGACAGCTACTGTGTACCTGCAGGGAGTATTTTTTATTAAAAGCTGATGGTTTCAAGGTGATATGCTAAAATGTATGCAGTATGCCCAAAGCAATATGCTCTCATAATGACATTGCTGGGTTAGAACAGAAAATTAAAGAGCTAAGAATTACCTTAACTTTTCCTCCATCCACTGTAGAAAGCAAGTGGGAATAACCGAGCACGTCAAATGGCAAAGCTCACAAGGGGACTTTGAGAACACAGTGCAACGCAGCCACGAATATCCTCTGGAGAACTGATTGGCTTAATGTGGATTTTAAGCTTTACTGTTTTAGTGACTCCTTGATGAATAAGGAAATGTAATGCTTTTATATAGGTATAATTCAGGGCAAGAGAGTTTGGATCCCAACCGCAATTCTCCAAAGTTCAGGACCAATTTGGTTCAGGCTACTTCTGTTTCTAAATGTCTTTGATTAGCATAAAGAGGAGACACCTATTTAACCTCTGCTCTGGCACTGCCATGAGTTGATTCAAGCCAACTCATCACTATTTGGGAAAACACTCTGAGAAACTATTTCCACTAACCATCTCAGAGGAACTGGCCGTGTCATTCAAACCACCCTAGACATTTGTACACACAAGAGTAATTAATACTGAGAAGGGTGTTTCAGTTCCACCAATTTAACAGTGGTGCTGCAAGCAGAGAGACTGTGTGCATCACTGTGCTTCAGCTCTGAGCAGCCCTGGTTCCCCCAAATCTGCCAGCAACAGCGCCGCAGGGGGAGCTGAAAAGGAGCTGGCAAGGTAGCTGTGACTCTATTCCAGGGCAAGTGATGAGGTCCTGACTGCCAGGACTGAGATGCCCAGAAGAAATGAGTGATCCTGGGTGCCAAGGAATCCACTTATATTCACAACTTCTTGCATCTGTTCAGAGAGCTGTCAGCACCCACCTCTTGCATCCCTGCCCTGGGCTCACCCCAGCCTATGAAGCTCCCGAGAGCTTCACCCAGTCTGTGCCAGTCAAACGTTTCAATTCTTCACCCTCATACTCTGCAGAGCATCTGTAAGTACTGGGAAAGCCTCCTCATTACTGCTTGAAACTCTGCTTTGTGCCCATGCCTACAAATGCCCTAACCCTGGTAGGAAGCTTCTGTGGTGAGTCCAACACTCATTATGCTGTCTGCTATTGTTGGCGCCGTGTTCCTTGTCCAGCCTGTGGCTCCTTCCTTGGCTTTTCAAAGTACAGCAGCTTGGAGCAGAGGTTATCTTTTTGCACAGAGTGCTCAGAAGAACAGGCTTTCTGTTGCTGGGGAGCCCTGAACCACTGCTACAAACACAACTGAACCCATCGTACCCTGCTTAGGGGCACACGAGGCTCGGGCACAGGAGAGGGGAGAAAAGCATTTCACCACCAGGCTTCAGAAACAGATGGGGTACTCAGATGGTCTGCAAAATTCCAAGTGTTTTGTTGGCTGGTATCTTTGTGGGAAAATTATAGCCAAGACTGTGATTTCTGTGGAAGATTATTAATGTTTGTTCTGAAGGTAGAGACAGTGCAGAGGAGGGTTGATAGGCTGCAGATCCAATTGCTTCAGGCAACTGTGCCTGCCCTGCGCTGTTAATCGTACCACTATAAACCTGATTAGATGCCATAAAAATAATGTGTGGTAGAGTTCCAGATATCTTCTGTCATATCTGCTCGAAATTGCAGACCACTGCGTGGGGACATAAACTCATGAAATGCAAAGGAACAAGCAATTTTGCTTTATGAGATGCTGTATCTTGAGCCCCAGCTCGGCACCCGACAGCGCTGCTGCTCTCATTAGCAGCCTCAGAAGAAGGAGAAACACTGGCTGGGAAATGCATGGTCTCCTAACCCTGCTGGGGTTGCCTCAGAGAGTCAGGGTTGAAGAACATTGCTCTTTTCTGGCCTGTATCCATCAATCAGACCTTCATCAGTAAGTATAATCACAGGTGTTGGAAATACCCGTCTCCTCCTCCCCACCTGGTTCTGCTGCAGCAGTAAGCACTACTGAAGTAGTGCACGCTCCCAAGTGTGCAATGTTCACCCCTGAAAACGGTGCTCTGCATTTCTAAAAAGGTGAAAAAGCAGAAATTTCACCAAGTAGAAGCATTCCAACTTCCTCTCTGAGGCATACCTGCCTCGTTGGCCACCACGAAGTCTTGATCTGGTCCTCTAACTGGTGTCTGGGCACTTTGTAACATATGAGACTACAGAAGATTCTGAGCACACCAGGTAACACCACCTCACTGGTATTATCTAAAGCCTAAGTGAATTAGCCCATGACAGGCTCCCTTTCATTGCATTTTAGATGCTGCCCTGGCTATGGCCTGAGTCCAGCCCATTAGCCAATCCCCATAGAAATGTCTGAAAGCAACCACACAGGTTCTTCACGGGGGCACCAAGGCAGAACACAAGCAGTCTCTGCTTGTGCCTTGCTTGACCTGCAAGACCTCTCTGCTATGAGGTCTGTCTCTACCAAGGCAGTAGTGTACATCATCCAGCTTTATGCTGAGCCAGACAGGTCTGAGAAGTAGCCAGGGAAGTCAGATGAGGTGAACTAGAGAGCGTTATCTCTGTCTGCCTTTCACGTGCCCACATAGCTCCCCTCAACATGCAGTTTTGACTCGATGTCCCTTCAGCAGCAGATCATAGTAGACATCTTCTCTATAAAACACACAGACTGCTCGATGCTTTCAGCACCTCAGGGGCTCAGCTAGCTGTGGAATTATGAGCCCCAGAAGAATTCTCAGTGCAAGTCCTGGATTGCATGAGGAGCTACAGACCCTCTGCTTCACTCTCAGTGACTTCAGGAACTTCTCCCTGATCCTCTTCTCCCTGTACTCTCTGCTGCAGAACTAAATTGACCCCTGGGACCCAGGATGTAATTGCAAAGGAAATCTTACTCAGCTCTTGCAACCCAAAACAGGGAACATGTTTATTCCATGTGCATGCTATGGGTGCAAGTGAGTCAGGAAGAAGGACTCCCTGTGTACAGGAACGGAGTAAAGTTCAGATGGAAGGTCTTCCAAGGATCACGTTGTCCTTGCCTCTATGCAGCAGAAGCAACAGTGAGTTTTCAGATGCTATCTTGGGCACTTTTCCAAGGGACAGCAGAAACATCTAGTATCAGAACTAGTGACCCGCTTCAAGACATGGGAATGCTTACTGGAATGGCTACAGAGATCCTTGGGCAAAAAACCACCTCTCTCTTTAACCCCATTCTTGGAAGGGAGTGAACTGCTTCAGTTGAGATTTTAAAAGCCCAGCTTGAAGCATGGAAAATGTCAGTTCTAATAGCATAAAATTGTCAAAGGCATATATAGATGAAACAGAACAATGTAATGGGAGATGTTAAGCAATCTTAATTGTAAGTGAACAGCGCCAAAACCGCCCATGATGCAAGAGGCACCCAGCTGGGTCCTGTGTCTCTGTTCTCCTGCCTGGTAAAAAGAGCAATGTCTCCAGGCTCTCAGTTTTGGATGATCTGTCATTAATGACAAAGCTCCATTAGCAAAGCTAATGACAAAGCTCTGGAAAGGACAGACTAAGACAACATGACAAAAACAAGAAGGAAAGTTCCTTCAGATATACTTTTGGCATAGAGGCTGCTGGAGAGATTTTGTTGACCTACCTTGGCAAGTGTGGTTGTCTTCTGACAGAACAAGTCCCCTTGGACATTCACATTGGTATGTGTCTTCCACTTCAATACAGGTATGGCTGCAGCCTCCATTGTTATTGTGACAGCCTTCTATTTCTGCAAAAGAAAGGAAAAATCAGCACACCCTGCTCCACAGGCAGCTGCGTGGCAGCGAGGCAGGCCCCAACATATACTCCTGGCTGACTAACCACAGTATGACCGACACAGAGCTTGAAGGCAACAGCATGGTGAGAGATTGCTTCCAAAAAAATGCAGTGGAAACCTATTTTCAATTGTACAATTTCCTGTGTTTGTCATTTCACCATGAAATTAACCAGGAATTCTGTGGAAAAGCTCACCAAGTGAAATCACATGTTATAACTGGCATACATAAGAAAGCTGAACAGGCAATCTTCAGCTTGGCCCTTTCTAACTTCTGAGACATTCTTCTTAAACTAATTTTTTATGTTGTTTCTTACGTCAAAAAGGGTGGGGGAAAAATCCTCTGAAAACTTCTACGGTGTGGAACCATACTCACTCCCTTAGTCATCAGCAGAATTAAAGCCCTGAGATTTGCAGGGGAGGTGTCCTGGGCAGGACAGACTTGCAGGTAGTCAGCTCCTATTCCCATCAGGGAACACCAGGGAGCAGATGACACACTCTTTGGCTGTGTGTTTCCCAGCTGTGATGGAGGTAGGTGTAGTGCATTCCTGCATCCCCTTTGTAGGCTGAGGATGAAACTCTGCTTGTGGGAGTTTGCTAGTTTACTTAGAGCACACTATCCTGAGATGACATATTCCTAGTGACTGCAGCTGCAAAAAAGAGCCTGAAAGGTCATCTAAATCTAAGGCAAATAATGCTATTTCCAGCTGTTGTTAGCTTTCTATTATAAAGAAAATAACAGAGTATCATATTTTTAAAAAAAATAACCTTCACTGCGTAACTATTTTAACGCTTTGGGATTAATACTGCTAGATGTTCTCAATAAAACAACAGCACATATAATATAAAGAAATCCCTTCCCTAAGCCTGCCATCAGAAATGACTGTGTGGTTTTCACTGAAATGTAAAGAAAAGAATGGAAATCCCATACTCAATCCTACACGTTGCTTGGAAACAACAGCCTGAACACTCCATGCGAGTCAAAGTAATGGGCAAAGCATTATAAGGGTAATTTTGAGATACTCCTAACCCTATTCAGCCTCAGCAGCTCATGTAATCAAGCTAAATCTCCCGCATTTACTGAAAGCAACAGCTGTGAGGTGGCCCACAAGTAAATCACATATTCTAGTGGCTCACAAATCTAAGGACACACCTTTAGAAATAAAACTTACTAACAAGACTGTAAAAATCCCCAGCAGCCATGTTAAACTCATGAAAATCATAGAATTGTCTTTAAGACCATCTAGTCCAACCATCAACCTCACTCTGATCAAAACCATCACTAAACCATGTCTCTAAGCTCTTTATCAACCCGGCTTTTCAATACCTCCAGGGATGGTGCCTCAACCACTGCCCTGGGCAGCCCATTCCAAGGCTTCAGAAACCTTTCAGTGTCAAAATTTTTCCAAACATCCAGTCGCCATCCTTTTTACAGAAGGGGAAGTTAAATGATATATCAAAGGCCCTAAAACACAACTTTGGGAACTGCAGAAAGTTTCCAAGAGCGGATTATTCCAGCCCTGTCAGAAAAGCTCAGGAATAAAAAATACCACATAACACAGCTGGTTTGCGTGATACCCCACCACCAGCTCAGTGATGGATATGGAAGGGACAAAGCCCCCAGATCATTTTTGGCCCTAGATAGCTTAACCAGTATTTAAGGAGCACCCTGCACAGCAGCTTTCCCCAGGTAAGTTATGGGTGTCCTCGTTTGAGGTGGAGCAGAGCCAACTTTCTGTTCTATGAGAGAGGCTCTCCATCCTATCTCTCACACTCAGTATAAAAGCTGAGGGATCAAATGTGCCAGGATGGCTCTTCTTCAGTGGGCTCTCCTTGGATGGTTGCTTCTTCAATGGCTCTCTTTCTTTGATGACTGATGTCCAAAGAAGACCCTGTGAGTTCATCTACCTTTGATCCACATCACTGTGTTTCAGAATCCAGTTCCCATTCCTCATTGAGACCAGGTGGTCACATCCCCCTGTGAGTTTGATATGGTTTTATACATATATGCGTATATATATTTATGTTGTGAGTTTGATATGGTTTTATACATATATGTGTATATATATATGCTGTATCTTTTTAATTCTTTCCTTTTTATTTTATTACTAATATTTTGTTAAAGTAGTTGAGTTTTTTCCTAAACTCATAAATCTCTTTCTCTCTCTTCTTCCTTTCCTTGGAGTGAGAGGTGAGGGAGCCCATCCATTGTACTGTCATTGGCCAACCTGGCCCCAACCACAACACTGAGTGATGTGTTATTAACAGAGCTCAGGGAGGAGACTTTCACAGAAGTGAGATGAATCGTGTTTTGGTCTCAGAGGGGGAAAACAGGGACAAAACCTGCCGTTTGCAGCCATCTGTCAAGTGAACCATAAAGAAGAGAGGAGTCCAGCCCCAAACTACAATGCCAATCCCTGTCTCTCCCTGCACCAGGGATGTCTACCACCCAGCAGCTAATGTAAGGTGGCATGTGGGCTGCAGATGTATTCAGTTCTGGCAACTGGGTAGCTCAAAAGTGAGGCACATCTGTAGCTCTTACTCCTGTCTGAGGCCACAGGGTATCTATGAACATACAACACAGCAGCTTTCCCTGAGAGGGGGCACCATGCTTCTCACAGCTGACCACAGAAAACAGCAGGCACAAGTCAATTTTTGCTGGATTTTCATATTTCTGCTCAAAGACGTTTGTAAATTGTTTGTGATGACAGGTCAAACCTACAATTTGGTCTTTAAGCCCCTGCTGAGCTACCAGTCTAAACCCACCAAGGGTTTTCAACCTGGCTGTGCCACCACTAGGAAGTAACTGTAGCAGTTGCACAGAGCAGAGCCCACAATTAAGCACTTATAAAAAAATCAGACGCTCAAAATACTGCCTGAATCTCAAATCTAGCTTTTGTTTACAGACTGGCATCCTGTCCCCTCAATCTCTCTCCTGGGAAACTAAGCAATCCTCATGTTCTAGTCTAATGTCATTACATTACCCCATACTTAATACTAGCTGTCAAAAAACAGTAGTGCTAAATCTGTCCCCACACAACTATCAGATAAATCTCCAGAGCCAAATCTCAGCATCTCCAACAATATCTAGTCCTGGCTGGACAAACAATCTTCCAGATCCACTGCTCCCTCTCCCCCCATGGAGATAAATACAAACAAATTCTAACAGAAATGAACAAGGCAGGGAGAACTGAACAAGGAGACTCCTCTCTGCTTGATTAGAAGGATATTTCAGTAACAACCCCACTGGCAAGCACAGAAGTGATATCAGTGACATTTAATCCCTGCCAGGCGCCAAGAGAGAAATAGTGCTGCAAGGGAAGGGGAATGATTTATATCATATATGATTTTCCAGCAGACTGTGATAGCCCAAACCTCACCTTCACAGGTTTTCCCGTCACTTCCCAGCGTGCGCCCGATCCCGCACTCGCAGCGGTAGGAATTCTTCAGGTTAACACAAAATTCACTGCAGCCTCCGTTGTTCTGCTCACATTCATTTTCATCTGAAAAAAAAACCCCACACTGTCATAACACGCCCCTGGTGAACACACAGCTGGTAAAAACAGGCTGCAACATAGGAGCACTATGGGACTAGATTGGGATCATGGACTGGCTTTCCTGGCCTCGTGACAACATGGATCAGAGTGACAGAGATGAGTAATCCCACGAAATGCTAAACACCTCTATCTACTGACAGCAGCAGAGTGTTTTGCCACGCCATGTCTACCTTGGGAACAAAGCAGACCTGAGGGGAAAGGCAGCAGGCACACAGCAGTGATTTTGGAGTGAAGACAGACACATTCCCACTGATTCCCCATGCTGGGGAGTTCATGTTGTCATTTATCTTCTCATCCTAAATTCTTCTCCACTCACAAAGACGTTAAAATGGAGTTAACATGACTTCACGGCACGGCAAAACTAGGTGAATACTAGAATCAGTCAAAAATAATCCCTACCTACCCACCTGCTACTGCTACACGTGGCTAACTGTCCTACAGCCATTTTAAGTTATTCAATTCTTATTTAAAAAAAACCAACAAAACACCAGCATGAGAATTAAAACCAGCTGTAAACAAACCTGAAATTAAACCAAAACATTTTGAAATGTTTTGTTAATGGGCTTCTTGGCCCAGCTCTGGCTGCTCCCTGCCCTGGAAAGCTCAGGTGTTCTTGCAGAGCACAAACTTCAGCTCACCATGGTGAGACCTAACCTGAGCACTGGTGCCCACACAGGCCACCACAACCATTAGCTGCTTAGCCACTCTGCACCAAAGATGAGACAAATGGCCCAGCTCTGAGCTACTCCCTCTGAGGACTCAGCTCCTCACTGCCACAGGATAGCCCTTCCTGCTCTGCTCCTCTGCAGCCCTCCGTAGAACCACGGCTTCTACCTTTCTGCTCAGAAGAAAGAGAAGTGCCCAAGCTGGCACCCCACGCTTTCTGGAGCAGACTCTTAGATAAAAGTTGCAGAATAACCTTGTAATGGGCCTGGACTGAGTTTTTATAACCTACAGCAATATCCCCATGAATAGTACCTGTGTCATGTTTCTGTGCTGGCTGTGTTCAGCTCCAGATTCCAGCCCTCCAGGGTGCTGAGGGTATTTACTGAGCAGATGCTTTTGAATCTCCTTGTAAAGCTCTGAAAACGCCTCTTAATTTTCCGTTTGAAAGATTAAAGTTCCTCTGTGCCCCATCTGCCTTTTTTTCTTTTTGAAAGGTACTTGAAAGGTACTCTGAGATTCTCATTCTTCAACCTGATTTAATCTCTGTGTGCAAAAAGTGAATCAAATAGAGAGGAAGGGACAGCCATTGCTATTGCTGAGCCACAAAACTAATGATTTCTCATAGGCAGACCAGAATGCTGAGGTTATCAATCAAGGGCCACATAGGGTTTCACCAAAACGGCTTAGAAGGTACCATTTACTAGATGTCAGAAGCCAAAAACAAACAAAACAAAAACATTTTAAGAGACAGGTCAGAGATGAGCTCTCTTAGGCATTAAGTGGTCCCACACATACACAGTACCCACAGCTGGTAGTGTCGTCTCCTTCCACAAGTAAGGTGAATTGAATATTTTTAGCCAAAAAAATGGCTGGTACCCTGCTTTGGGAGGCAGGAAGCCTGTCCAGGAGACACACAGCAACACTTCCCTTTCCACACATAACGGGTTCCACACTTTCCCTTCTAACAGTAAAACTAGAGCTGCTTAAACCAGAGGGGAGAGGGCTACTGGCAAAGGCGTAGAGATGCTGTCAGAAGGTCCTAGAGCTTGGCTTGGTCAAGAGCCGTACCCAGCAATTCTCCTTGCTGGTCCTCCAAGTTCTATAACACACAGCAGATCTGTCCCTGCTCTTCCACACCAGTGACAACCAGCACTTCTGGAACACAGGCTGGTTTTCTTGAGAGCGGGTCAGGAGAGTGCTGAACGGACCATGGCTTAGTCCTACATGGATCCAGGTATTCAAGAGGTCAAAGGCACTGCACTGAGTTGGTGGATCCGTGACAGAAAGTCAAAGATCTAATCTAACCCCTTAAGTAATTTTGCAAATGAAAATACAACTTAGGATCAGCAGTTCTACTCTGGGATTCGAAGCACAGAATGTACTGAAAAGAAGTCAGCCTAGCACAGGGAGCTTCACAGACGGAGCTGTTTGGCATTACTGCAGCATCTTCAGCCCCCCTCTTAGGCTGAGCTGGGAAAGGAAGAATATTGTCGGTCTAAGAAAGGCTACTGCAGTTTTATTTGGTTTCTCTGGCAGGCCAGCATGGTTGCTCTCAGATATGTGACCATGCTATTACTCAGCACAACAGAAAGTCATTACAAAGATGAGGCTGCAGGCAGGTAATCCAGTGTGATTATTACAGCTGAGGTGCTGTGCCATCTGGTTATCACAAAGATAGGCAGCAGCTCACAACTCTGGCCTGGCCTGGCAGCAGGGGGATGAAGGCAGCACGTGCAGACAGCTCAGGACTTCTGCATGCCTCCCTGCTGCAGGAAATCCTTTCCTGCGAGCCTGCTGCACATTTACTGAGTGCTGGTGCTTATCAAGGGCACTTCTGCACTCAGAAGTTTTGCAGAGAAGCAGCTGATAGATGCTTTAATTAGCTGAGAGAGCTAAGTCAGCCACTCAGCTGCAGAGATGTGGAGCAGCTTTAGCAAAACCGTTCCACAGAATCAGTGTGAGCCAGTAAATCTGCAGCAGGGCCAGGCTGCTCCCTCCACAGATTGTAGCGATGGTGGCCCCTACCCTGATGGCCACAGACACGAGCAGTGAGAAGAAAGAAACCACCCATTGCCTGCTTTGTCAGCTATAGTCTGTATGGAAAAAACTCATCTGCCTCACAGTCTGCTGGACCAACTCTGCTCTCAACTTTTCCACCAAATCAAAGCTCAAAGACAAAGATAAGATCCCACTTCCACCACCAAACACTAGCACCCCTTCCTCCCCCCATGCCACCTCTTCCTATCCATCAGTGTGGCTCTGCAGCACCTCAACAGCCCCTTGCATTGCCCCGCAGACCATCCTTCTCCTAAGACCTGGCAGCCCAGCTGCTCTCCTCCCAGCACCACACACAACCACAGCTCTCCTTGCCTCAGGGGTTGATGGGGATTCCCTCACAATCCTCTACTCTCACTTACAGCCCTCCCGGTCACGTAAGATAGGCAGCAGCTCACAACTCTGGCCTGGCCTGGCAGCAGGGGGATGAAGGCAGCACGTGCAGACAGCTCAGGACTTCTGCATGCCTCCCTGCTGCAGGAAATCCTTTCCTGCGAGCCTGCTGCACATTTACTGAGTGCTGGTGCTTATCAAGGGCACTTCTGCACTCAGAAGTTTTGCAGAGAAGCAGCTGATAGATGCTTTAATTAGCTGAGAGAGCTAAGTCAGCCACTCAGCTGCAGAGATGTGGAGCAGCTTTAGCAAAACTGTTCCATCGAATCAGTGTGAGCCAGTGCAAATCTGCAGCAGGGCCAGGCTGCTCCCTCCACAGATTGTAGCGATGGTGGCCCCTACCCTGATGGCCACAGACACGAGCAGTGAGAAGAAAGAAACCACCCATTGCCTGCTTTGTCAGCTATAGTCTGTATGGAAAAAACTCATCTGCCTCACAGTCTGCTGGACCAACTCTACTCTCAACTTTTCCACTGAATCAAAGCTCAAAGACAAAGATGAGATCCCACTTCCACCACCAAACACTAGCACCCCTTCCTCCCTCCATGCCACCTCTTCCTATCCATCAGTGTGGCTCTGCAGCACCTCAACAGCCCCTTGCATTGCCCCGCAGACCCATCCTTCTCCTAAGACCTGGCAGCCCAGCTGCTCTCCTCCCAGCACCACACACAACCACAGCTCTCCTTGCCTCAGGGGTTGATGGGGATTCCCTCACAATCCTCTACTCTCACTTACAGCCCTCCCGGTCACGTTAGTCTCACAGCCCCTTGCATTGCCCCGCAGACCCATCCTTCTCCTAAGACCTGGCAGCCCAGCTGCTCTCCTCCCAGCACCACACACAACCACAGCTCTCCTTGCCTCAGGGGTTGATGGGGATTCCCTCACAATCCTCTACTCTCACTTACAGCCCTCCTGGTCACGTTAGTCTCTGTCACTGCAGTCACCAAGTGCCAGCCCCCTGAATAACACCTTGTCATGCTGCCCAGAACCACCGAGGCGGTGCTGTGACCTGCAGTCTTTTGGGTCTCCTCAAACCCTAGGCCCTGGACAATGCCCCATGAGGGCAGTAAGTATGGTGAAGCTTAGGGTGTAGTCCTATGCCAGGCAGCAAAGCTTTTCTTGGAGGAAGGAGGCATTCAAACAGAGTGGGTGAGAGGAAATCTCTAATGACAGACTGCACAGCTGTTCCTGAATACCAATGAGGCTGAACCATGATCTTGCAAAGAGACTGCTGCTGACAGTGAAGTTGCTGTCTTCAGCAGATGGACCACGCAGAAAGCAAACCTAGCCTTTGTACATGCATAGCTCCAGGGGCACCAGAATGTAGTCACTCATGGGATGTTGCATCTCGCCCTGCAGGGAGAGATCTGGAACCCTTTACGGTATCAAAGACTTATTCTAGGCAGCAAGGGGGGAAAAACTCTCAGAATACTTTTCCTTTTTTATACTGCTTTGTAAGACTATGGACTGAGATGCGAGCAACAAAACAACGGGGAAAGAAAGCATCAGTAACTGACACAAGTTATTTCCAGCCTTACCAAGACACGTCTGTCCATCAGGTCCTAGTGTTGTCCCCGGGGAACACGTGCAGTCACTGTCCAGGCAGGAGCCCTGGCAATCCACCACATCACAGATGTCATAAAAATCTAGGGCATGAGAAGAACGTTGTGAGCACAAACCACTGAGCTTGCACTGAAAACACTGTATTTGTCCCAACAGCTTCACGCCCTGTCTGGTCCACCAGTTACAAACCTAGCCCACATTAAAAAAACTGAACCACTGAAGCTAATGAAAAACAATCTAGTTTAATTACTCTAAGTCAGAGATGCAAATTTTGGCTTTGGTAGCACGCCAAGACAAACCCCAGGGCCCACAGAGAGCATTAAATCACTGTGGCCAGGTCAGCTAGGGAAGCTTTCCCCTAAGCTGAACAAAGGCTAGAATTCACAGAGGTGAAAGAGTCTAATCGATCTCTTATCGACAGGCCACCACGTGCACTGCATCACCTGACAGGTTTGCGGACGATACCAAGCTGTGTGTTGTCGATACACCAGAGGGACGCAATGTCATCCAAAAGGACCTGGACAGGCTGGAGAGGTGGGCCCAGGTGAACCTCATGAGGTTCAACAAGAGCAAATGCAAGGTTCTGCACCTGGGCCAGAACAATCCTCGCCACCAATACAAACTAGGGGGTGAGGGATTGGAAAGCAGCCCTGAGGAAAGGGATTTGGGGGTGCTGGTGGGTGAGAAGCTGGACATGAGCAGGCAGCAGGCACTTGCAGCCCAGAAGGCCAATCCCATCCTGGGCTGCATCAAAAGATGCATTGCCAGCAGGTCCAGAGAGGTGATTC